TGCCTTTCAAATAAATACAAAGTCTTAACAATAACAACAAAAAATTCCTGATTTGGAGCAGGATTGCCGGATGTTTCACACCACCTTGTCCACCTTGTCTTTCATGGTGGAGAATACTGTCTGGGTTAGAGTGTCGTGCTCACCACTACTGCCCTGTTGGATTTGTGAGACTCTAATTTTTCTTTTTAGGATTTATTTTTATTGGAAAGTCAGATGTATAGGAAGAAGGAGAGACAAAAAGATTCCATCTGTTGGTTCACTCCCCAAGTGGCCACACTGGTTGCTGTTGAACCATTCCAAAGTCAGGAGCCAGGAGCTTCCTCCAGGTCTCCCATGTGGGTGCATGATCCCAAGGCCTTGGGCCATCCTCGACTGCTTTCGCAGGCCACAAGGAAGAAGCTGGATGGGAAGTAGAGCAGTTGAGACAGGAACCGGTGGCCATATAGGACCGTGGCACATGCAAGGAAGAGGACCAGCCAATCGAGCCATTGCATGGGGCCCTCTGATCAGTTGTGTTGGTATATGGAGTGCCTGGGAGGCTTCTGTCCCCAAGGACAGTGTAGATCACAGCAGTGACTCTTCTCAAGGCATGACACTGCTGTAGCATGTGCTCTGTGGGCTGGGAATGACAATAGAGCAAAGCTGTGATGGGTTCTCCCCTTCCCAGCTCCCTTGCCTGTGACTGCTGTGGCTTCCCCCTGCGGCTGGGTTTGCTGGTCTGAGGCGCTCCTGCAGATGGACCTTTGGAGGCTCTCCTGTTTGCCCTTTCCTCTGCAGTGCAGATACCCTGCTTGTGGGACCATGGTCGCCATAGCTGGTTGGTTTTTCCTCTCTCTGTGCCTCTCTCCTAGTTCTCCAAGTCCTGGGAGTTTCCCTTTCTGAGGTCTTGTGTTGTTCCTCAGGCACCCAGCTCAGGATGAGGAGGAGGCAAACACTGGTACTGTGTCCTGCCACCTTGAAAACTTGGATTCATGCACTGTTTCTTACTACTGTATTTCCCAGAGCTCAGTACATAATAATAATAATGTTGTTGTCAATACTATCAGTACCATAGCAGCAGTGCTGAATACAACGAGGCATTTAAGAAATACTGTGGAGTTCATGCATGCATGTTCAATAGGTACTGTCAGAGTCGAGAGGCAGACTCCTAGGCAAGATACTTCTTTGATTCCTGTATGTCTGTATCTTCTTTCCTTATAGGCTGCTGTTTGAATATCAGCCAGAAGGCCACCAAAAAAAAAAAAAAAAAAAAAAAAAAAACCCAAAACCCTGAGAATCTGTTGCTTGGAAGAAGGGCAAATAGAAATATGTCAGGTCCTTGGAATTCTGTTTTGGGTATCTCCTAAAAGCAGATGACATTCAGTCTGAGTTTTGAATAAATTTATTTCATGTATTTGAAAACAGACTTTACTTTTAGAACAACACAAGCAAAGGCAGAGGCCTAGTAAACCACTCAAAGTCAAAATGAAAGTAAAATTTTTATCTTAATCGTATGAGCCTGTGATTGCTCTGGGGAGCAGTGGAGCCATACTCAGACCTGATAACTGAGTATCCTCGTGAATCGTTGGGGGCAGGCAATGGGAAGCGTCATAGTTTCCCTTCAGTTCCCTTTCCACAGTGGAGCTCTCAGTGATTCCAGCTGTTATTGCTAGCCTTTCAGAGAAAGTAAAGAAACTCAATCATAGACTCTGAACTGTCCAAACATACTGTTGTGCCGATCTGCCAGCATTCCTGACTGATGAGTTCCCTTGACCTATTCCCAGCCCAGTGCTAATCCCAGTCTTTATGAGGGTAAGAGTGATAAGATTAGAGAATGGAAGTGGAAGGCAGGGCTCATCACTGGGGCCCAATATACTGCTATTTGCTTAACTGCCTGTCATTGTACCCTGGTCACGTTAGTTGTCTGCCAGGGTTCAAAGGCCCAGCCGGCCTCTGTAGCGCTGCTGCTACTGTCACAACCCTTTCTGAAATCACCCATCCACATCGCTTACTGTCTGGACAATCAGATGTAATTTGAAGTTTCCAGGAAAATTAACTTTGTCAGGTGTGTCTATATGTGTGTAATACTTTCCTGTCATTTAAGGTATCACAGTTTTTTCTCACTCAGAGTTTACCTTCTCTATTGTTCTAGAAATAATGATGTCTGGATATCATTGGATCAAATGATTTTGCTTTCATTTTTGCTTTGAGTGTTTTACAAGAAATTGCATTGGTTTCTTTAGGTAGGGGAATAATTAAGGCTGTGGTTTGAGTTCCCAAGCCTTTCTGGTAAATGAAGTAACATATCCAGACCATAACATTTCCAGAGATTAAACAAATTTTGTAGTATTGCATTTTACCAAAGTTGTCATAAAGGAATGCAGCTTAATAGCCAAATTGTCACTTGATTTTGTGGCATAGGTTGTGTATAAATTTAAAGAAGCTCTAGCTTACCATGCCAAATTTTCGTTTTTTAAGTTTTTAATTTTGGGGCCCAGTGCAGTAGCCTAAATTCCTTGCTTTGCACGTGCCTTGATCCCATATAGGCACCAGTTCATATCCCAGCTACTCCACTTCCCATCAAACTCCCTGCCTGTGGCCTGGGAAAGCCCTCAAGAACAACCCAAATCCGTGGACCCCTGGAGGAAGCTCCTGGCTCCTAGCTTCACATCAGCTTAGCTTTGGCCACTTGGGGAGTGAACCAGCAGAAAGAAGATCTATTTATCCTCCTCTGTGTATATGTGCCTTTCCAATAAAAAATTAATAAATCCTAAATAATTTTTAAGTTTTTTTTAAAGATTTATTTTTATTATTTTTTTATTGGAAAGGCAGATATACAGAGAGGAGAGACAGAGAGGAAGATCTTCCATCCGATGATTCACTCCCCAAGTGAGCGCAATGGCCGATACTTTGCCGATCCGAAGCCAGGAGCCTCTTCCGAGTCTCCCACGCGGGTGCAGGTTCCCAAAGCTTTGGGCCGTCCTCTGCTGCTTTCCAGGGCCACAGGCAGGGAGTTGGAAGGGAAGCGGGGCTGCCGGGATAGAACTGGCGCCCATATGGGATCCTGGGCGTGCAAGGCAAGGACCTTAACCACTTGCGCCACCACGCCGGGCCCAAAATGTTTAAGTTTTAAAAAATATGTATTTTTATTGGAAAGGCAGATAGAGGAGCGACATAGGAAGATCTTCTGTCCAATGGTTTACTCCCCTAGTAGTCGTAACAGCTGGTGCTATGCTGATCCAAATCCAGGAGCCAGGAGTCTCTTCCAGGTCTCCCACATGCGTGCAGGGTCCCAAGGCTTTGGGCCATCCTCGGCTGCTTTCCCAGGTCAAAAGCTGGGAGCTGGATGGGAAGCAGGGGCCACCAGGATTAGAACCGACACCCATATGGGATCCCCCTGCACGTTCAAGGCAAGGACTTTAGCTGCTATGCTATTGCACTGGTCCCTAATTTTAAGTTTACATTTTATGATACAGTTCCCCAGGGATTTCCTTTTCCTCCCTCCCTACTTTCCTCCCTGTCCCCATTGATTTTTCATGTATTACAATAGTATAGTCCTCAACCACAGTCTTAAGTTCATCATTCTGCTATTTAAGCGAATCCTGACATTGTAGGTATAGAAAATGGTAGAGTCCAGCATCCTATTGTCAGGATAATTTTACAATTTCACTGGGACTATACCAATTTTTCATGGCACAGATTGGACACCATAATTCTGAGCTTTCAGGATGCAAATGAAGTACAAAGTATACTTTGGTTATGGTTGTGGATTTGACCTCCAGGGCATAAACCATCCTATGACAAATCTTGAGGGGGGGGTCGTAGGAACAGTCACAGCCTGGCAGCTGTGGGAGGCAGAGTTCTCTGGGCATGGCTTGGCTGACAAAAGAGAATGAACCGCTAAGAGGTTTTCTACCATCTGGATGCCAGGTGGTTATGGTGGAGATTCTATTTCTCTCTTTTGGTTTGGAACTGTTTCCTTATGTAACCATTCTGTTCTTTTTTCATTAATAGCAAGGGCAATTCTACTCAGTTTTTATTACTAAAGTGGTGAAGACATGCAGTTAGCCTAGTGGTTTGGGCGCTGGTTGAGTCCCCCACCCCCCATTTCCCATGTTAGGGTAGCTTGCTTTGAGCCTTGCTCCACTCTCCTTTAGGGTTTCCTGCTAATGTACACCCTGAGAGCTAGCAGGTGACAGCTCAAGTGGTGGTCCCCATCACCCACATGCAAGATCTGGATTGAGTTCCTAGCTCTTGACTTCAGCACAGCTCAACTACAACTATTGTGGCATTTGGGGAGAAAACTAGTGGATCCGAATTCTCTTTGTCTCTCTGCCTGTCAAATAAAATCATCTTGCTTTTGTGGTGACATGTTGAGCTGTGCTGGCACACTTACAATGGCACACCATTGACACACCTCCAATTAGCCTTCCCTTCTAAAATGGTTTGTTTATAAACCTGTAACATGCTTCCATGCCAGTGTAAGTTCTAAAAAGATTGCTTAAGAGGGAAGAAACAGTAAGAGACATGTTACAGTTTATAACAAAATAATTTTAAAACCATAAATCAAAGGAAACTCTGAAACTCTGCCTGTGAAACTGTCATGTGCAGATTTTTAAAAGATTTATGTATTTTTATTGGAAAGGCAGATTTACAGAGAGGAGATGCAGAAAGAGATCTGTTTACTGGTTTAGGGTTAGGGGCTGCCCAAGTGGCTGTGGTCGAAGCTAAGCTGATCCGAAGCCAGGAGCTTCTTCTGGGTGTCCTGGCGCAGGTGCAGGTTCCCGAGGCTTTGGACCATCCTCCACTTCTTTCCCAGGGCATAAGCAGGGAGCTGCATAAGAAGTGGAGCATTAGGGATACGAACCAAGTGCGTAAGTGATCTCAGTGGATCCAAGGCAAGGATTTAGCAACTAGGCTGTTGTACCAAGCTTCCTTATGTGCTGATTTGAGTCTGAATCTTACATTTAACTGTCCAGGAAAGAAGAATTAAATTAACCGTACCACATTTTTTTCCTTAGGTAATTTTGTGAGAACAGTTTTGCAACCTGCTATTGACTCAATTGCCAGTGAAGATGATGGCAGCCTTCCAGAGACAATGAGCCGTGGATTTTCTCATTTGCCTGAGGTGCTGATAGAGCAAGGAAGTTCTTTCAACAAAATGTCCCCAGAGGCGGGCCTAAGAGAGAGTGGGACATTGAATTCCAGGAAACAAGACAGTCTGGGATCAGCTAAGCAAAGTGATCCTGATCTTTCATTTTTAGTTGTGAAGAATAACATGGGAGAGAAGCATCTTTTTGTAGATCTGGGTGAGTAACACTGACAGCTGTCGTGGACTGGCCTGGCCTCCTCTTGGATATGCCCATCCAGGCTGTCGCTGTGCACAGGATTCCCGCTGCTATCACAGGCCCCAGCGAAAGCCCAAGTCGCTAGCTGAACATGATTGGCCTGAGGAGGCTTTGGGCATCTACTAGTTTAGAGATCTTGTGGAAATCCTATGACCATGAGCATTAAGTTGGATACAAGAACTCACATAGCAAAGTCAAGCTGAGCTCTGTGGTAGATGCAGGCTTGTTGGTAAGAGCAGGGACCCTCAGGCTTGTTGCACAACCCAACTGGTGACTCCCTCAGCCCCACCAGGCTCTCTTTGCATCTGTTTGGTTTGGGTCTCTGGACCTGAGTGTATAGGAAACACTAGGCTGACAAGACTTTCTGTCCCTCAGTAGACAGCTCACTGAGGTCCCAGCCTGTGATCTGAAAAGCCAGAAGGAGCACTTGTGGCGTCAACCAGCCCTCCAGAGAGCTTCGGTTCATACAGGTTGAAGGGAAGTAGATTTAAACTGTTGGCAAGGTTTCCCTGCCAACAGAGATAGCAAGATTTGGGGATTGTTCCCAGTGTGTTGATATCTTTCTAGTGTCCCTGAAAATGAAGTGGCAGAATTTGGAATTGTAAGTCTGTTAAGTGAAGATGTGTCAGTTTGGGTAGGAACAATGATGAGTTATAAGTAGATTAGTGTCAGAGTTAACCTTGTTGCTGTAACAGAGAGACCGAGGCCAGGTACATGCATAAAGGAGTTTATTTAGCTCACATCTGTGAAGTGTGAAAGTCTGAGATTGGATGGTCTCCTTTGTCAGTCTCTGGTGCGAGCTTTCTAGTTGTATCATAAACTTGGCAAATGACGTCATGGGACGGAGAGAATGCAGCAGGCCTCGTCTTTAGAATCTGCACTTGACATTTGCCTGTTTCTGCAAGACCAGCATCAATTTCTTCTCTGTAGGGCCCCATGACCTAGCCACTGCTTGCCAGGTCCCCTACCTGTTAACACTGCTGTATTGAGAAATAAATTGAACGTGAATGGTGGGGGGGCAAACCACATCCAAAGCATGGCAAGGAGCGTTCTTCCCAAGGAATACCTCGTTAGCAGAAGGTGGGAATCCAGGCTGAGCAGCCTATAATCAGATAAGGACAGTATATAGCAGAAAGAGCAACGCTACCTGGTCAATGCGCTCCACCTCTCACTACTCTTGAACTCCCCAAGCAGAATACCCAACTTGTGGCTGTTTTATCCTTGAAGTCATATTCCTAGGCTAGAAATATCAGGAAAACGGTAAGAAAATCCATCTGATATTCTCGAAAGAAATATTTTAACAGTATACCTCTGTTTAATTATATACTAAAAGAAGATGAGGAAGTTTTTTTCCTGAACCTATTTGAAAGGCTTAGGAATTTAATAATGCATGCACATTTTTATTGTATTTTTTAAGCTGTATCCTACCGTAGGTCTATGGTATGTTTTGAAATCGGGTATTGTCATGCCTCCGGCTTTGTTCTTCTTGCTCAAGAGAGCTTTAGCTATTTGAGGACTTTTGTGTTTTCATGTTAATTTTGAGATTTTTTTCCCCCCTAATTCTATGAATGATGATGTTTTCATGGGGACTGCATTTAAATCTGTAAATCACTTTGGATAATATGAACATATTAAGTATTATTCCATTCTTTTAAAAAATATTTATTTATTTTTATTGGAAAATCAAATATACAGAGAGGAGGTGAGACAAAAAGATCTTCCATCCATTGATTCATTCCCCAAGTGGTCACAACTACTAGAGCAATTGCTTTTTTGTGGAAAAAGCGCATGAAGGATGAGGACTTCAGCCACTAGGCTACAGTGCAGGGCCCGGCTGATCCTTTTAATGTTGGATTCACTTTAATAATATTTTATCCAAAATGTTTGCATCTATATTCGTCAGAGATGGGTCAATAATTGTCCTTTCCCCTTCCCATCCTCCTTCCCCTCACATGTGGTTGTCATTTTATACTTCTCTGGTTTTGGTATCCAGACAATTCTAGCCTTATAGGGTAACTTTGGTAGAGTGTTCTCCCAACCTTGTGGAAGCAGTTGGGGAGTAGTGCTGATTTTCGCTGTAACATTTAGGTAGAACAGCAGCAGTGAAGCCATCTGGCTCTAGGACTTCTGTTAAAGACCTTCTATTACTAATTCAATTTCATTGCTGTTATTTGATCTGTTCAGGCTTTCTGTATGCACAGTTCAATTTGAGTAGTTTATAGTTCCCAGAAATTTACCCATTTCTGGATAGATTTCCAATTTGTTCCTAATGATTCCTTTTAATTCTGTGGTATCATAGAATAACATTTTTTTCACCTTTGAATTTATTCATGGTAGCATTAAATAATGTCTTTGGCACCTCAATTTATTTTTTGTGCTCTTGTTTTCTTGGTTACTATTGCAGAAGTTAGTGGGATTTTGTCATCTCAAAAATTATTTTTTTATATTTTTTCTTGGATTTACATTTTTGCTCTGTTATTTCTGTTAACATTGAAATTATTTTGTTTTTTTTTAAAGATTTATTTTTATTATTTTTTTATTGGAAAGGCGGATATACAGAGAGGAGAGACAGAGAGGAAGATCTTCCGTCCGATGATTCACTCCCCAAGTGAGCACAACGGGCCGATGCTATGCCGATCCCAAGCCAGGAGCCTCTTCCAGGTCTGCCATGCGGGTGCAGGGCCCCAAAGCTTTGGGCTGTCCTCGACTGCTTTCCCAGGCCACAGGCAGGGAGCTGGAAGGGAAGCGGGGCTGCCGGGATTAGAACCGGCGCCCATATGGGATCCCGGGCGTGCAAGGCGAGGACCTTTAACCACTTGCGCCACCGCGCCGGGCCCAACATTGAAATTATTTTGTTCCTTCCCAATTTCTTGAGATACATCAGTAGTTTCTTTTATCTGTTTTTTAATGTAAGCTCTTACTGCTGTAAAGTTAAATGTTAGTATTGTTTCTTGCTATGTCCTTTAAGTTTTATTTTGTTTAAGTTTGTGGTATTTATACTTTTATTCATTTCAAGAAATTATAAAATTTCACTTTTTCTTTTAGGCATGGTGCTCAGTCTTCATGTATTATAGTTCCTAAAATTATTTTTGCTATTTCTACTTTTGTTTCATTATAATCAAGGTTTTATGAGCTTGATTTTTTTGAGACTTGTTTTGAGGCATAGTGTGTGGTTGATTTTTGAGAATCTTATATGTATTCATGGGAAGAATGTGTATTCTGAAGCTGTTGGAAGAAATGTTCTGTTAATGTCATTAGGTCAGATTGGCTTATTGTATGGTTTATTATTAATTTACAAAGAGCCAGATGAACTCTCTTCTGAGTCATTCTACCCCAAGATGGATTGTACAGCCCAACACCAAGTTACGCAATGCAATCCAGCGCATATGGCATTGTCCTACTCCTCACACAGCTGGAGTCCTGCTACTCGTTGTCTGCCTAGCATGGGGGAGACGTGAAGGCACCCAGGCCAACTAAAGCTAGGCAGTACCTGAGTTTAACAGCCACAGGGCTCTGCACTGGTGGTCTCTGTTTAAAACTCGGGGTGATGCAGGCCAAAATATTGTTCTGTCTTTTCAGAGCAGGGCTCTCTGCCAGACGTCAGGTAGCATCTAGAGGCTTTGTCTTTAAGTACAAATCTGATCAGAGTAGCTTTGGAGTTTGTGAGTTTGTGTGTGTGTGTGTGCTCTGTGTGTCAACACAGCAAGCCCAGTGCTAAGGTTCAAGACAGGGTCCTAAGCTCACTCTCCCATCCAACTCCCCAGTGGCTGGAATCTTGGTGTACTTGGCTGCTGGAGGGTGAAGGATGGGGGTGGATGCAGTCCCTTGGCTGCCTGGCAAAAGGGGCTCAGTCTATCTGGGGGCAGGGAAGAGGAGCCTTGTCCTGTGCCAGATTGCAGCATAGCAGGCTGGGTGCTGCAGTGTAAGTGTAAAGTCTGGATCTCTCCAGAAGTGGGAGGGTCACTGCTTATCATGAAGGGAAAGGTGGTTCAGGCAGCTCTCCTGTATAATAATATATATAACAGTGTCTGTTATAATAAAACCAAGCAGTCTGAACTCTCACCTGGCTTCCTTAGTTCTGGTGAAGCTTTGGTTATGAAATAGCTGAGAAAACTGGTGTCTCTTGCCCCACCTCTTGCAAAAGGAATTCCAAATGCATTATTGAAATATAACATTCATCTAGAAAAAGTTATTTCTATTTTAACTGGATCAGTGAGTTCATAGCAAGTGAACACACCTTGTCATCACATCACCCAAGAGAAGTGACCATGAGTATGTAACGTTCTCTATGCCACTTTTTTTTTTTTTTTTTTTTTTTATTGGAAAGGCGGATATACAGAGAGGAGAGACAAGAGGAAGATCTTCTGTCCGATGATTCACTCCCCAAGTGAGCGCAACGGTCGATGCTATGCCGATCCCAAGCCAGGAGCCTCTTCTGGGTCTCCCACGCGGGAGCAGGGTCCCAAAGCTTTGGGCCGTCCTCGACTGCTTTCCCAGGCCACAAGCAGGGAGCTGGAAGGGAAGCGGGGCTGCCGGGATAGAACCGGCGCCCATATGGGATCCCGGGCGTGCAAGGCGAGGACCTTGCCACTGCGCCACCGCGCCGGGCCCCTCTATGCCACTTTTGATCTGAATCCATACGCTCTTCCAACAGCACACGACTGTTCTGTCTAATGTGCTGGATTAATTTTGTCTGTTTTTTAACTTCATAAGGCTGAAACCACGTTGTATGTGTTCACTCCCCAAGTGGCCAGGAGTTTCTTCTGGGTCTTTCACAAGGGTGTAGAGTCCCAGGCTTTGGGTCATCCTCTGCTGCTTTCCCAGGCCACAAGCAGGGAGCAGGATGGGAAGTGAACAACTGGGACACAAAAGCTGGTGCTCGAATGGGATCCTAGAAAATGCAAGGCGAGGATTTAGCCACTAGGCTACCATGCCAGGCAATTTCCGTTTTTTATTGTTAATAACTTCTATTCAACTTTTCCATTTGTTTTCAATGGGATTGTTGCTGGAAAACAACCTAGCTTGTTATTTCCGGATGTGGCATTCTTCCATGCCAGCTCTAGTTCATCTTAATTATGTTTTGGTCTAATTTTGCTTACAGCTGGACCAGAATTCCTCAAAAGGTTCATGGAAAATCAAACTGAACGATACAGTTATTTGGCAGTTATTGAAATCCTTGCATGTAAGGGATTTTCAGAACAATAGAGATGGTGTGGCTTTCATGCATGTTACTTTTTTAACACAGGAGTTTATACAAGAAATAGAAACTTTCGGCTGTATAAGTCATCAAAACTGGGAAAACACGTGGCTTTGGAAATTGCTGAAGATAACAAATTTTTTCCTAAGCAATCAAAAGCTATTTCTGAAGAGTACCAGTATTTCCTGTCGTCTTTGGTGTGCAATGTCAGGTATGTGGTTCCAGAATTAAAATATTGTATACTCCTGACAATTTATTACGCCATAAATGGCATTGTACATTCCTCAAAGGTGAGTTGTGTAAATTCACTGTACCTCACGAAAATGATACTTGATTCTCAAAATTCTTTTTTCCTAAGTGATATTTTATAACTATTTGGTTGTTATCTTTTTATGATTGTGCATATTTTTTCAGTTTTTCTTAAATTCTTATTCTACAATGAATAATTATATTTGGAAATGTTAATTCTCATTTTCTATACTTACATTTATGTAGCTTTCTGCAGAAATACTTCTTGAGATCATTATGCTTATGTTACCTATTTTTTTAAGATTGACTTTTATTTGAAAAAGAAAGTTACAGAGAGAAGGATAGACAGATGGGGGAGAGAGAAGAAGAGAATTCTGTATCCCCTGGTTCTGAATTGGCTGGAGCTGGACTGGTATAAAGCTGGAAGCCAGGAGTTTCTTCCAGGTCTCCCATGTAGGTTCAGGGTGCCAGGACTTAAGTCATCCTCTTCTGTTTTCCCAGGCCAGAAACAGGGAGTTTGTGGTAAGTGGAGCAGCAAGGACTGTAACTGGTGTCCATTACGGAAGAAGATGGCACCATAGGTAGAGGCTTAGCCTATGGGGTCACAGTCCCTGCCCCATGTTACCTATTTTTTCTGTTCAACATTGTATTATGAATATTTGCCAAATGAATCCATTTGCCAGAGCCAGCACGGGGTGCAGTGGTTAAGCCATTACCCGCAGTGCTGCATCTCCTAGGCTACCCCACTTCTGATGCAGCTCCCTGCTCATGTGTTGCCTGGGAGATGTGGATGGAGTTCTTCTGGTTTGGCCTGAGCCAGCCCAGCTATTAGGGCCTTTTGGGAAATGAACTGGCAGCTAGAGGATTTCTCTCTCTTCTGTCTTTCTTTCCCTCTCTCTCTTAACTCTGCTTATAAAATAAACAAATATTTAAAAAGTAATTTTTCAGTAGTTGATTATAAATACAGCTTTTGATGTCTATATACGTTTCTGTTAACTGACATACTGTAATTTATTTTCAGCCCTCCTGTTGGACTTTTATGCTTCTGTATTTTGGTGTTTTGTAAAAGTCATTTTTAAACAGAAATATTTGTGTTCATTTCTTTTTTCTGGACTGACACTGTTATCTCAAAACTTGCTAAATATCAAATTACATTCCCATTAACTTGCTGCAACTCTTGTTTTAGCCTCACCTAGGTATTTCAAGGAAAAAAATCCTTAGAAATTAGTTTTATCAATAAATATTTAAAGTTTGCTGCCTGGGGAGCAGTGGTTTCAGTGCAGGAGTTGGTGTAGGCCGTTACCCCGGGAGGGTGGCCAGGGGGATTGCCCTGACTGGAAGTCCTTCACTAACCTGTCTTGGAAGAAAGGTGAAATTCGTTAGTATTTTTGCTTTTAAGGTAAACATCATAGAATTTAAAAAGCTAAAGCTGAACACATAAACCATTGGCAACAGTGCCCAGCACATTATGAATCAGTACATGTTGATAAGTACTAGTAATAAACCTGGAATTCTAGAAGCGGCATAACAGTTGTATTAAAAGGAAAAGTGTGTTTCCTGCCATTTCAATGTTGATCTTGCAGATATAGAGGTTCTTCTACTGAATTGCCTTGCCTCTCTTGTGTATCTAAGCATAAACCACGTATTTTATTTCCAGAAGCAAAGGTTCAATTCTCTAATTATACTGTGCCTCTCCTTTGTTTCTTTTAATCAATTTCCTCCTTTTTTTCTTTATAGTTTCCTCTTATTCACACTGTTAGGATTGTAACAACAATTTCAAAGGCTCCTTATATTTGCAGATAAGAACCATAGTTCGCTTTGCAAATACCAACAATATCCAGGGTTGGGCCAAGCTGAAGGTGGGAGCCAGAGACTGAACTGGGATTTCCAGAAGATGGCAAGATCCCAGATACTTGAGCTATCTCTGTTACCTGCGCAGATGCTCACATGCAGGAAGCTGGGGTCAGATGCAGAGCCGGGACTCAAATCCAGGCTGTAATATGTGGTACAAATGCCAAAACTGACATCTTAACTGCTAGATCAAATGTTCTCCCCAAGGAAAAATGTCTTGTTTGTATTTAAGATTTTTTATTATTATTATTGCAAAGGCAGATAGAGGAGCTACAAAAAGATCTTGCATTCATTGGTTCACCCCCCAAGTGGCCACAAAGCTGGAACTGAGTCAATCTGAAGCCAGGAGCCCAGAGCTTCCTCTGGGTCTCCCATGTGGGTGCAGAGTCCCAAGGATTTGGGCCGTCCTCAGCTGCTTTCCCAGGTCACAAGCAGGGAGCTGGATGGGAAGTGGAGCAGCTGGGACACAGGTGCCCATATGGGATCCTGGCGCATGCAAGGTGAAGACTTTTACCACTAAGCTACTGTGCCAGACGCCAAAGAAAATATTTTAAACACTGCCCATCTTATTCTTTTAAAAAATTTATTTTCTTTAACAAATCAGTAGGACTGGCGTTTTGTGGGGAAATGAGGCATAGATTTAGATGCCTGTTCTAATACAATTTTTCATGTATTTTCTTTTTCAGATTCTCAGATACTTTACGAATCCTTACATGTGAAGCAACTCAGGATAACAGAAAGCGACCGGAGCATTTTAATAATACCAGCATTTCAGGTGATTTTAAAAATAATTTCCTATTTTAATTTAAGGATTAGGGGCCTGGCGTGATAGCCTAGCAGCTATATAGTGCTCACACTGAATATGCTGGGATCCCACATGGGCACCAGTTTTATTCTGGCAGCCCCGCTTCCCATCCAGCTCTCTGCTTGTGGCCTGGGAAAGCAGTCGAGGACGGCCCCAGGTCTTGGGACCCTGCACCCGTGTGGGAGACCCGGAAGAAGCTCTGGAATGCTGGCTTCGGATTGGCTCGGCTCTGGTCATTGCGGCCACTTGGGGAAGTGAACCATAGGACGGAAGACCTTCTCTGTCTCTCCTCCTCTCTTTATATCTGCCCTTCCAATAAAAAAACAAAAGAATCTTTTTTAAAAATTGTAAGGGCTAGAAACCCATTTTACCTTAAACATTAGATCTTGTATTCATCTCCATTGATTGTTGGAATTTACTTTTATATTTCAAGCAGAAAGAGTGTTTAAAGATTTTTATTAAAGTACTTAGTAGTTTTCATATTTGTGTGTTTCAAAACAGTACAGAATACTGTAGTTTTTTTTTTTTTAATAAGCATGTATGAAAATAAAGGCTAAACATTCTCTTCACCTCTTTGTCCACAATCCAGGATGGCCATCTCCTGCAACAATTTGCTACTTAATCCTGTAGCACACTTCCTTTATTTCCATCACAGAGATACCTTTCTCGTGCTTTTGGTATGACTCTATTAGAATTTCTGAATATATTATAATTATTTTGGATCTATTTGAATATTAGAGACTATTTTTGGTATGACTGTTAGAATTTACCCAATCTTGTCCTGAAGAACATACAGTTTTTATTTATTTTTATTAGTGAGATATACAGAGAGGAGGAGAAACAAAGATCTGTCTGCTGGTTCACTCTCCAAGTGGCCACAACAGCCAGAGCTGAACCAATCTGAAGCTAGGAGCATGGAGCTTTCTGGTCTCCCACACAGGTGCAGCGACCCAAGGCTTTGGGCCATCCCTGACTGCTTCCCCAGGCCACAAGCAGGGAGCTGGATGGGAACTGGGAATGCTGGGATTAGAACCAGCGCCCATGTGGGATCCCAGTGTGTGCAAGGTGAAGACTTTAGCCACTAGGTTATTCTGCCTTGCCCAAACCTATAGGTTTTAATCCTAAGCTTCCTTATATAAGCCCTCCAGTAAACATTTTTATTGAAATATTTTGGTATATTATTTTACTGTAAGTAGTAAAACAAAATGTGCAATACTATTGGATTGGTGACATACTGTGAAATATCTGTAGATATTAAATTAAAATGTTTGAAACTAATATATGTAAAACATCTATTTACAATGTTAAAAAATTGTTACAAAAATGATATGTATTATAGGATCACAACTTAGATTTGTGTAACTGTTCTGTAGAGTTACCAGTTTATTATGGTATGTGATTTTAAAAACAATGGTAAAACATGTGAAAGTAAGTATGGCCAGCTGTTCTGTGCGGTCATTTACGTTGCATCTTGGAATGTGCATATCCCATTGTGGAATGCTGGCTTGAGTTCTTGCTATGCCTTCTGATCCAGCTTCCTCCCGATGCTGCGTATCCTAGGCAGCCAGTGATGATTCAGTACCTGGGTCCTTTGGGAGACCTCTAGGTGGCTCCTGGCTCCTGCTTCAGCCTGGCCCAGACCCAGTTGTAGGCATTTGGGGAATGAGCCAAGAAATGGAAAATCCTACTCTTCTTGCTCTCTCCCATTCCCTTTCAAATAAGATAGTGAGAAATTATTAAGAAAAAGGAAGTATGCAAAATGTGTGTGTGTGTGTGTATATATATATATATATACACACACATACTTGAAGCATGTTAAAATTATTATGTAAAATTCCAGATTATTTGGTTACTTTAGTATTGCATTAAGAGTAGCCATTGATTCTTAACTGGAATTGGGGTAAGCTTCCTCAATCCGGCTTCGTTGGTTGCAGATTCTGACTTCCCAGTTAACCTTCTGTCACTTGCCCTGCAAAACTTTCCTGCAAGGTTAAGATGGCTATGTGAATGACATCTTCACATTTCCTTGAGGAAAGGTATAATGAAGCATTCCCATGCACGGAATTCTTTCCCGTCGTTGGCTTCCAGGCATGGATGGGCCTTACATGGATCTGACTAAAACATATATGCCACCCCTCATTTTAGCCACAGCTAAGAAACTCCAAATAGACGGCAGCTGACTGGGATTAATTACATAGGTGCTGTCTGAGCTGTGGGAGTGGGTTCTTGGTAGACAGGTCATATTCTCTCAGTTGTTAATACCACATCACTTTCAGCTTTTTAAACAAATGTATTCATTTTTACTTAGTTGAAAGAGGTCTTTTATCTACTAATGCACTCCCCAAATGCTTGCAACAACTGGGGCTGGGCCAAGCTCAAGTTGGGAACCTGGAGCTCCTCTGGCTCTTGTACATGGAAGACAGGGACCCGGGCTAGCAGAACCATCCCCTGCTGCCCTCTGGTGTGCGTATTAGCGGGAAGCTGGAGTCAGGAATGGACCCTGGCACTGTAATGTGGAATATGGGCTCAGTGCTGCACCAAAAGCCTGAGCTTGTTCACACCTTTAATTCCCACAGAGGAGCTCCTCCTGCTGTTGCAGCCAAAGCACATTCAGTTCACACAAGTTGACCTGCCAGGCAGACAGTAGTCAGAGAAGAGCTGTAACTGCTCATCATAGCCGCACGCATACACACTGCCTGCATAACATTTTCTTATGCATTTATTTCTTCTCGTTCAACATTTTGACATTGATATGGAACTCATTTCTGCATTCACATATTTCCTATAATTTCTCTGGGTATTATTTTTATGTGGGAAATGGAAACTTCATTTTAAGAGAACTGAGCATTTCTGTCTTTAAATAAAGTCCAATTTAAGTTTTATTTATTTGAAAGACAAAGCAACATAGCTGGGAATGGTGGAGACCAAGATCTTCTCTTCACTGGTTTTACTCCTAAATGTACAACATTGAGATCTGGGCCGGGCCAAAGCCAGAGGTCAGGAACTCCATCCTTGTCTCCCCCAGGGGTGGCAGCAGCCTGCATGCGTAGGGGATTTTCTGCCTTCCCAGGCACGTGAGCAGGAAGCTGGGTTGGAAGCAGAGCAGCTAGGACTTGAACAAGCACTCCAAGATAAGTGGCTGGTCCCTAAAGTGTCTTCAAACTCAACTTGCTTGCTGTGAGTGTGCCACAATGCAGATGACTTAAAAGAAATTTTAGAGCCCTGGCACAGTAGCCTAACAACTGAAGTCCTAGCCCTGCTTGTGCCAGGATCCTGTATGGGTGCCGGTTCTAATCCCAGCAGTCCTACTTCCCATCCAGCTCCCTACTTGTGGCCTGGGGAAGCAGTCTAGGACAGCCCAAGGCCTTGGGAAACCTGGATGAAGCTCCTGGCTTCGGATCAGCACAGCTCTGGCCTTTGTGGTCACTTGGGGAGTGAATCATCAGACATAAGATCTTCCTTTGTCTCTTCCTCTCTGTAAATCTGACTTTCCAATAAAAAGAAAAATAAGCCTTTAAAAAAATTTTTTTAATTAAACATTATTTCAGTAGAGTTAGGTACAAATATAATTTGTACCCTCTTAAGTCCACAGGGAACATCCATAGCAATGTTTGAGTTCTGGAATCACTGGAGAAACATGGAGACAGCTAAGAGGCTGTTAGAATGGGAGGATTAGGGCTTAGATTAGGTGACTGTGGGAGTGTACACAGAAGCTTGGACATGTTTTATGTTGGGTACTATCAGGGACAACTGTGACAGTTAATAACTGCCAGCTAGAGGGGAGACTAAAGCTGTAGTAAATGTACAGCCACAGAAGTCCACTGTTGGGTTAGCCACTCTGGAGGGGCACTTGGCGGTTTTTGTGGTTTGCAAAATGTTTAGACATAATTACAGAGTGCTCTTGTTTTTGTCATGAATCCTCACGACCACAGAGTGGCCTTAACTGACACTGAAGTCATTCTGGTTCACCAGGAGGTTGGCTCATTACGACATCAAGCACTTGGATGTGAGGGGCCCTCTTATTCTTTGTCAGAATGAAGGAAGCAGTGAAAATAATCTCAATTGTTTTGCCATGAAAATTCACTAACACTGGACCTAAATGAGAAGTTTTAGTTTTACCTACTTCCTTGTACTGTAACAAGAACCTGTGAACTGAGAATTGCATAAGGAGAAAAAAAAAGTGAAAGTTTGCAAGTATACTAAACAGCAATTTAATTTTAACTTCTCCCTTTTCAGTTGTTATAATTTTTACATAATTCTTTTGTCTTTTGCAGTAGAAACCCTCGAAGGTTTTCAGTCTTCACCCTACCCTGAAGTCGATCGGTTTGTTCTTTCCTTGGTGACTAAAAATGACATTAAAGGAGGTAATGCTTATCTCAGTTTTGAGTAACTGTTACATGATTCAGACTCATCATATCTTTAGAAACATTCTGTGTATCTTAGGAATCAGACGGTGGAGCTACTTTTCCTCAGAAGAATTACTGGTTTATGATATTTTCAAATATCGCTGGTGTGAAAATATTGGAAGAGCCCACAAGAGCAATAACATCATGTGAGTAACATTGTTTTTCAAGGCCTTGTGTTTAAGTGTGCACAACTTTTTAACAAAATTGTACTGCAGTTAAGTTTGGTTAAGGGGTTTTAATATTCAAAGATACCACACTGCTTTGAATATATGTCAGCTTTATTTGTACTCCATTTGATAAAATTCTCTTGTCCTGAGAAGAGGTTGGGAACTAGGGCAAAAGCATCAGATGGGGACAGATAGGGACAGAGGATCTGTCCCCCCTCTACTGTAGCCTGTGTGTCCCAGGCACCTTATGGACTCTACACTGAAATGGGCAGGTGGGGGCGGGAGGAGCAGCCGCCTCTGAGTGCCGCAGAGCTGTAGGTTCCTCAGCCTACACCGTGCGACTGGAGGCCTCTCAGGTTCCTGGATGCTTGGCGCAAACATCAGACCCGCTTTCAAAGAACTTACAGATGCTCTGGCAAAACCAGCAGAAGAAAGGATGCAGTAAAGCTAGACATATTTTAAATAAGAGAATGAGGACAAAACAGAAATCTGGTAGCTATCAATTGCAAAATAGTTAATTTGTTGTATTTCATATTTAAAGTCAAGGTGGATACTCTTAGCATGCATGCCGGAAATGGAAAAATCATGGAGCATTTGCTGAAAACTCAGTACTGTGCTTGATATCCTTAACTCACTAGTTTTTTTGGGTTTTGTTTTGCTTTTGAATGGAATTCTCAGGAGCTGGTGGTGGTGCCCAGCACATTGAGCTGCAGCTGGTGATGCTGGCATCCTATCTTCTGCTGCCTTCCCAGGCTTATTAGCAGGAAACTGGATCAGAAGCCGAGACTTGAACTGGCACTCTGATACAGATGTCGGCATCAGGAGCAGTGGCGTAATGCAAACTGTACATCTGTCTGTTAGTTACACAGTATGGGTGACATTTCCAGGAAACATCTCAAAATCCTAGATTCAAGGTTTATTTACCATATGCCATTTTAAAGGTAGAAACACCTTTTATAACATATTGTGTATGAATAAGGACCCTCCAGAGTTCATGAATTTTCATGGTTTATGGTGTTCCTGGTATCTTAAATAATTTTTTACACTTGCTCTGAAGCAACAAGAAATATCTAAGAGTTTTGTTAATGAAAAAGTTACTCTCAAACAGCCTATAAATGTCTGTTTTAACAGTATGTTTGAAAAAGAATATTCAGAAGTCAGGAGGAAATATCTTTATGTTAAGTGCTATGACTTATCAGTGGGGGATGTATGTTCTTTTTGCCTTTGTGTGATCACAGACTGGACACCACCAAACCACCTCATTTGGTTTCCACATTGATATTGGTAGAACTTTCTCATAACCACCACAAAGAACCCAGTTCTACGGATAGGACATTATCAGACGCAATGAAGTACAATGTCATGTTAAGCCTCTGCAGAGCAAACAGGTAGCTTTAACAGGAGCTGGCATTGTGCAACAGTGGGTTAAGCCACCACATGCTTGCTCTGCTCGTATCGCATGGTAGATTGTCTGTTCCAGTTCCTTGTTAGTAACATCTGGGAAGGCAGCAGCAGATGGCACAAATACCTAGGCCCCTGCCATCCACATGGACGACCCACATGGACGACCTGGTTCACCCGTAACAGCTGTGGCTGTTGGGAGAGAGAACCAGTGAATGGAAGATTTCTCTTCTTTTTTTTTTTTTTAAGAATGTTTGCCAACTATCAAGTGTTAGTATGTTTCCTGTAAGGATTATAGTAAAGTGTGCTAGCTTCAACAGCACATACACTAAAATTGGAACGAAGATTGCAAGTATGTTTCCTACTCTGTCCCCAGGACACTTCAGTATGTAGTCTGCAGCATTCACCAGCAAGTCCATCACTGGAATGTTGACCAGGTTAGATCAACCTGCCTTTTCCACGCCAGGGTACATACCCTGGTCCTCCCCTCCCTTCACCCTCCCCTCCACCTAGCACATGGAATATTAGGCACTTTGTCTTCTGGGAGATGTGGGAAGAACTACTTCATCAGATTTGACAAGATTTTGGTTTTAATGATTCTTATAGGATTATTTAGGCTTTCTGTTACTTTTAAAATTTGCTTAGGCACTTTGTCTTTTATCATAATTTTCAAAGTTACTGGCCAAAGATGCTAATGATATTCTTCTTATACATTGCATTCAGTAACATTTGTAACATTGGCTTACTTTGGCTTTTAAAAAAAAATTTACTGGAAAGGCAGATTTACAGAGAAAAGAGACAGACATATTCCATTCACTGCTTTACCCCGCAAAAGGCCACAACAGCCTCAGCTGAGCCTATTCAAAGCCAGGAGCTTCCTCAGGTCTCCCATGTGGGTGCAGGGGCCCAAGGCTTTGGGCTGTCCTCCACTGCTTTCCCAGGCCACAAGAAGGGAAGTGGAGCAGCCAGGATATGAATAGCACCCTAGTAGCTGGTGCTTGTAGGCAGAGGATTAGCCAGTCGAGCCATTGCATTGGTCTCTCTTCCTTTGGGATTTGCTCTCCATTTCTTTTGTTTTTTAAGCAGGCTTGCTTCATTTTTCTTACACCGTTTTTCTTTTGTAATCTAAGTGTTTAAGACTATAAATTTCCTTCTCAGGATCACTTTGTCTGCATTTCATATATTGTAATACATATTTTCAGTGTCATCCAGGTCTAAAAATTTTCTAAATTTCTGCTTATTTGAGCTGTGGGGGTATTCAGACATGTTCTTAACTTTCAAACTAAGGGTTCCCAGTAGCTATCTTTTAGTTTTAAAATTTGATTTCAGGTGAAAGAATGTATTGTGAACTAAAACATACAATGAAGTCGTCATCTTTTGCTAGCCCAGAGTTTATTATTTAGTATTTTTTTAATAGAGTTGTTTCATACATGCCTATTAGGTCAATTTTAATTGTGGCATTCATATTTTTTGTATCTTTACTGAGCATTTTTGGGTGGCTATTTAGTCCATAAATTACAAAGAGAATTTTTCTAAGATTTATTTGAAAGATGGTGACAGTATGAGGAGGGGCAGTTTGGGGGAAGGGGACATTAATCTTTCCACCACAGGTTCATTCCCAGGCGGCTGCGATGGCCAGGCTGAAGCCAGGAGCAAGGAACTCCATCGTCATCCCCCTCACAGGTCACAGGGGTGCAAGTACAAGGAACATCTTCCACTGCCTTTCCAAGCACTTTAACAGGCAACTGGATTGGACAAACAGCACTCAGATCTCAAACTGACCATTCTGGTTTGGGATGCAAGTGTTGCAAGCAGCAGAACTCTTGATTTATGGCGGGGATGTGTTTGTCCTTGTAGTGTTTTCCATTTTGAGTACATGTTTTGAACCTATCTGAGGGATACAGATAGAGGATGGTTCTTCGTTTTTTTTCCCTGAGGTCCATTTTGTGTGATGCTTTAAATACAACCAGTTTTCTTCTATTTGGGTATCTACTCACATTTTTACTTTTTAAAGTCTTAGTCTTGACTGTATAGGCAGCATTTAAATTCCATTTAGTTTTTGATCTAGTCTAGGTATTAATATTTTTTTCTTTTTTTAAACAAAGGATTCTGGTTGATCTGAAAAATGAAGTTTGGTATCAAAAATGTCATGATCCCGTATGTAAAGCAGAAAACTTCAAATCTGCCTGTGAGTTACTAATGTCTACATTTACCATAAAGTGAAAATGAAGCATTTATATTAAAAATTGTTTCACTGTCTGATTAAGGTTTTCCACTGCCTGATGAAGTACGCCTTCTGTTTCTTTTCAAAGAGGTAAATACAGCTTTCTAATTCTTGCTATAATAGTATAAATGTATCATGAACAGTGTCCACTAAGCTTTTAAAACATTGTTTTACTTGAAAATACACTGCAATTTTTTTTTACCCTGGTATAGGTTTAATAACATGCACCTTGTTCTTTTACTGCATAATGAATTGTACAACTTGAACAATCCCAACATAAAAAAATTCAGAAACATTTCAAAGGTTTTTTTTTCATACTTCCCAAATGGCTACAACAGCCAGTGCTAGGAGCTTCTTCCCTTCATGGGTGCAGGGTCCCCAGAACTTGACTTCCCAGGTGTGTTAGCAAGGAGCTAGGTCAGAAGTAGAGCAGCCAGAACATGAACCAGTGCCATTTTAAGATGCTAGTGTTGCAGATGATGGCTTAACTCGGTATGCTACTCCCAGTTTGATTGGTATGATGCTTTATTTGCAAAGCAAAAACAATCTTTGTGTTTTTAAGAGTAGGAGATTGGCACAGTGGTTTGAGGTGCCCCATTTCATCTCATAATGCCAGTTCTTTTCCTGGCTGTTCCACTTCCACTCTAGGTTCCTGCAACCAAGTGGAAAGCCTGGATTGGATCCCAGGTTCCTGTTATGGCCATCTGGGGAATCAACTAGCAGATTGGGAGATCTTTGGTAAAATTTTATCTGAAAGACAAAATTAGAATTGCATATACCTTTAATAATCTAATATTTTTTAAATTTTAAATTAACATTTTTCTTGCAAAAATAAGTCATATGCATTGGAGAAAACACAAAAAGAGGAAAAAAATTTCCCCTTTCATAATTTGACCGGAGGTAATAGATGTAAAGGTCTTTGCATGATTCTTCCCAGAATCTAATGTCATAACTAAGTAGGAAGAAACCCTACAGAATTTAAAAATTACTTTTAACACCTATGCACACATTATCCCCACAGAAATTACAGGAAACTAGACTTCCATCATTATTTATCAACACTGCTGCTTGCGCTCTCTGAACTGAACTTAATCGGACAGAGAAAAAAATGGAAGTATTTTCAGGACACATTTTAAAACTTTAACATCCAAAAAAAAGTTTGCACTAGTAGAAATCTTTGTAGTGGCTGGACATAAAGAACCTAAGGTTAAAATGACCAGAAGTAACCAAAGGAGCAAGAAGGTGTCTCCTCGCTTGGTTCTGGGAGTCTTATTTGGATGATGTTTAAGTCCTCCAAGTTGAAAGTACTTTGGGATAAAAAGAAAAAAGTAATGGATATAACTTATTATTAGCCAGTGTTATTCACTGATTTACATTCAATAGGATAACCAATGCAATAGAAAAAGATGTTTATAAAAATTTCTAACCTACATAACTGTTAGCAACTGAGGCAGAGTTCCTTATCCTAACAGTTGCTTTCTCCTACAGTACACCTGTTTGTTTTTGAGCATTTGTTCAGAGTAACTTCTCAGCTTTTACTGGTTATATAACTGGTAAAATTACTAAATTCAGAAAACTTATAACTAGAATATATAAGGTGATAATACTGATATTTTAGCAACTATCCCAAAACTCTAACAACTGTTTCGGTCATGTTCTTAAGATAGTTTATAAATTTTGCTAGCACTGCAGTGTATCTTCAAAATTAAGTTAATTCCAGCAAGGGCTAAGTGCCTCAGAACTGCAGATAAAAAAAAAATCTAATTTCCAACATATGTAAATATTTTTTGGAATTCATTATTTTATCATATGCTGTCTATGCTGAATTATGACTAGCCTTGATTTCTGCTTTCCCCACTGAAAACTTTAAAGGAAGAAGAGTTTACAACAGATGAAATTTGGAATAATGAAACCCAGAGTTGTCTTAAATCGTCACCTAGTAAGCTGTCAACAGCTGCATCCTCCGACACTGACTGGGACAATGACATGGATGATGCTAACTTCCTAGAAGCTACTGAAGATGCTGAATTAGCCGAGGCTGCAGAGAGCACTCTTCAGAGTTACAGCAGTGGAGTGGATGAAATTCCTGATGAAATTGTTATGGAAATCTTCCAGGAGTAGCCTGTTGGATATGCTGAAATATCTAAGATTTGTAACAAGCCTTAACTTATTATTCCCCCCTTAACCACCTACTCTACTTAAGTAAATTAGTTTTATTGGAAATTAACTGCTGTATACTTAAAATCTGTTGTCTGGGGCTGACTTAGGGGGTTTCAACATTTTAAAATTACTGAAGACATTATCAAAAGACTATGGCATCAATTTGATGCCATTTAACATTAGTCATGAGACAAATACTAAATTCTGGTGACAAGGCCGCCTTCTTTCCCCAAAAGATTTATAACAGTTTTAGAAGGTAGCATGAGACCGATCTTTTACACAGGCGTTTCACCAGAGCTGTCGTCTTCACTCCAAGTCCAGGAGCCTTTCTAATTGATGGTTGATATTCTGCAAATGATTTTCAGCTCCCAAAAAGGATCTTGCTTTAAATAACATAGCTGGAAGGCTGGAAGAATCATACTGTTGAAAGAAAACAACTCAAATTAATCTCAAACCCTCATATCTTTCTGTTGGCCATACATTACATATGTAAAGACCTTTCCATTAACTACTTTCACTTTTAAACTTAGGCCAATAAGATCAGTTGTAATCTGTTTCCCTAGGGTATAATTCATAGAAGGCTGTAGGGCTTTACTGTTCTCATCCCATAACAGTGCTGTCTGAAATATATATATATATTTATTTATATATATATATATATTTATATATATATATATATATATATAAAAGTTGAAGCTTGCTTGATCTCATGTCAATTTTAAATTAGGCTTACTTTTATTGCAAGTATCAGTGGAATGAGACAACAGGCTTTTAATAATGCATAGGGAAAAACTCCTAAATCCATCTCTGGAAAATTTGTTGGATCATTCCAAATGACTTAATTTGTGCCTTTAAACTTAGGAACAAACTGTAAGGCTGAGAAGCAGCCAACTAATATATAACAGTACTTTTTTTTCCCTAGCAGTGAGAGGTGTGGATGTACCAAATTGTTTGAGAGCAAGCACTTACTGTCTTAGTTCAGCTCTCAGGGAGCAAGCAGATGCAGAGCTCACACCTGGGACTATGGATTGAGTTTAGGGAAAGAAGACAGACACACACTCAAACAGCATACTGTCTTGCAGCAACCCCTGTTTCTGCTTTGTAGAGGTCCAAAGAGGGCATTCCTGAGAGCTGTGCTCTGAACAAGGTGCAGTCACTGAATGTCAGTGTTGAAGTGATTGCTATTTTCCAAATTTAGTAACCAGCTCACCTGATAAGCTTTAATATGTAAACAAACCTTGAGTTCAGGAAAATTACCTCACTGTTGAATGTAAAAAACAAATGTGGCAAGCTACATTTTATATAAAATTAGGATACAAATGTGTACATTTTGGGGGGACAAATTAATCTGAGGTGGGCACCATAGCATTTAAACATTATGCAGTAAAAATCTCGAAGCAATCCTGACACCACACTTTCTCCTACTAAACGTATGCAGTTTCTGTAAAAACTGCACCTACTATCACCACTTAGATAATGCTTATTTTTCAGATAAACATACCAGAATGGGGCTGTGCACGTCTCTGAAGTATATATACCTTTAAGAAATCAGTAATTCTGGATTTTTCTCTACTTCTCTGTCCTACACTAAGTAAGTAAAAATATGGTGATAGAATATTCTGATTGGCAGTGGTGTTTTGGTGTTGCCTCTACAATGCTTTTTTCCCTTACAGTTCTGGAGCGGTGGCACACGGAGGAGCCCACTTGAAGCATAGTGCGAAGGTTTTGATTAAGAAAGGAAGGGTGGGGGGGGAGGGTGAACGTATGACGCCGTTGTGGACCGGGCGTTTAGGGGGGTTGGTGGCTAGTTCTCCGGGAGGATCTGAAAGTGGTTGGTAGGAGAAGAAGCTGTTGGAAGATGTGGGGGGGGGGGGGGTGGGGGGGGGGATGGCGGAGGGAAGACCCGTTCTAAGTGGCTTAAGGGGTAGGGGGGGGATAGGGGGGGGGTTTGTGTTTAGTATGATTGGGGCGGTTGTGGTGTGGGTAGGACCTGGGATGGGGAAAAGGAGGGGACGGAGTATAGGATCAGACGACATGGTTAAGGAGTGGGGTTGGTTTTTTTTTTTGGTTTTTGAGGGGTGAGTTGGATAGGGGGTGGTATAGGGTGAAATTGGAAAGGGGGGGGGTGGAAGTGAGATAAAATCAAGGGTGGTATGGGAGATAGATTGGGAGGGGGAAGTATAAACATTGAGGGAATGGTGGAGAGGGGACAAGGGCAAGGGGGGTGGTATGGGGGTTGTTAATGGGATATTTAGAGGATAGGATAGAGGGACTATGGTGTTGTTTTATGTTTGGAATGTTGGGAATGGAATTGAGTTAATTGGGAGTGGGTACAATTGATGGTGGAAGTTATGTTTTGGAAGAACTGTAGGGGTGGGAATGTGTTAATTGTTTAGAGGATTTTGAGAGAAGGGAAAAAGGCGGGTGGGTGGGTTTAGGGATAGGATGGGGAAGTAGAGGAGGGGAGGATGGGGTTTTAGGGGGGGTAAAGAGTATGTGTGTGGTGGGGATGGGGTGGGTATTATTTATTGTGGAATGAGAGAAATGTAGGTGGTAATTTGTATTAAAACCAAATACAGAGAAGCTAAGCTGTGAGGGTTGGGGAATAGGCAAATGCATGCGGTTTTGAAAAACTCAGACTTGTAGCTGGCATGGGGCGCTGCGGCTCGCATGAGCGACACTGTCCCCAGAGACCAGACAACTGTTAAAAAGCCTGCAGGGCCAGCATGAAGGTAGATGAACATAGAACCATCACGGGCCAGGGGGGGGGGGAAATATACGTCAGCTTAATCTAAAGATCCGAATTTAATGGAACTAAAGGCCCGCCATCTTAAAAGGATTACGTCCTAAGTTCTACGGGCTCACAGGGCTGGAAAGTTACAACAATGCTTTATTACACAGTGAAAATAACATGCCTCACCAGATGACGAAGGCAACTGAAGGGTGAATTTATTAAAAACATCCAGGAAAGCACTCTGCCACACAAAGGTTTCTCTAAGCTTCACTTATTTTGGCATGAGCCAAGCAAAAACTTTAAACAGGTGTGGGCCCATGATATAGTCTAAATTTGGAAAACCAGCAGACTAGACAATCTATTTCTCTCAAACTTCTGTGACACTTAGTACTTATACTAATTATCTGATAGCAACACTTCCTTTCTCAAACCATCTCACATCTCCAGAGCAGAGCATGCATCTGACACTGCTTGGAGCTTCTGGCCTTCTCGGGATGAGTTACTGCCCAGGCACCCAAATTCTGGTCTGTCCATTAATCTAGTTATAGGCTGCTGCTCGGGCCAGAGCTGAGAGATGTATTGGAAGGTTGAATGCTGAGGGGGTGTAACCTGCCTTCACTGAGCATCCAGACAAACAGGTAACCTGGTGTTTCCATGTGGCAAGCCAATAGGTATTACTCCTCCCAGCACCCCACCATACTGACATCCTTGTAGGTTAAGCCTTGAAACAGACATACTACCTTACCGAAGCACTTCATCCTGGACTTCAATCAACCGCTGCCTTTTCTTTTCGATATCAGAAATCACCTAAGTGATAGAATAATTTGTACATGTTTGAGTACTACCGTGTAGACTGTGTCAGATACTACACAGGAGGGCAACAACACAGACCCAAGCCTTAGCATCGTGAAGCTGTGGGGACACTGGGGCGAGCGGGCAGGCAGGCAGTATGGGTTACCACTATGGATATGTACTGAACAGAAAAGAAATGGGAACCCAGAAAAAAATGGGGGTAATGGGGCAAGGAGCTACTTCAGCATGATCTGGCAAGGAAGGTGAGGGCTAATCTTTATCAGATCCCGTTAGCTACACAGATGTGATGTTGGTGCACCAGATAAACACTGGAGTAGGGCAGAGTTGTGATCTATTTGACATTTTTAAACCATTTCAACATGATAAATTTTATCATTACATTGCTTGACATCCTTAATGCTCCAACTTGTAAACAATGTAAAAATTGCAATGAGATTAAAGGGAAAAAAAGACTTGTAATTCCTGGGAGGAGAATGTGTACTTTTTTTTTTATTATTACAAAGTCAGATATACAGAGAGGAAGATCTTCTGTCCAATGATTCACTCCCCAAGTGAGTGCAACGGCTGATGCTATGCTGATCCAAAGCCAGGATCCAGGAACCTCCTCCATGCCTCCCACACAGGTGCAGGGTCCCAAGGCTTTGGGCCGTCCTCGACTGCTTTCCCAGGCCACAAGCAGAACTGAATGGGAAGTGGAGCTGCCGGGATTAGAACTGGCACCCATATGGGATCCCGGGCGCGTTCAAGGTGAGGACTTTAGCTGCTAGGCCACACCACTGGGCCCAGAATGTGTGCTTTTCAAGTTTATTACTGTTGCAAATGTGGAGGAAGAGGGCTCCCTGCTCCTGGACTCAGCAGTTTAGTGCTGGGACCTCTGAGGTTCTGCAATGCAGAACAGTCAGAACAGGCCTGCTTCTCACAGACACAGCAGAATCAGGACTGTGACTCCCAGCCTAAGATCTTTCCCAGACTCTCCTTTTTCCTGAGAGAATGCTCTAAAAGTTACGTTTTTAAACAACTTCAAAAGCAATAAATATACATCATTCCACACTTAAATGATCATTGTAGACTTTCTTTTTTTTTTTAAGATTTATTTTTTTATTATTTTTTTATTGGAAAGGCGGATATACAGAGAGGAGAGACAGAGAGGAAGATCTTCCGTCCGATGATTCACTCCCCAAGTGAGCACAACGGGCCGATACTATGCCGATCCGAAGCCAGGAGCCTTTTCCGGGTCTCCCACGCGGGTGCAGGTTCCCAAAGCTTTGGGCCATCCTCGACTGCTTTCCCAGGCCACAGGCAGGGAGCTGGAAGGGAAGCGGGGCTGCCGGGATTAGAACCGGCGCCCGTATGGGATCCCGGGCATGCAAGGCGAGGACCTTTAACCACTTGCGCCACCGCGCCGGGCCCCATTGTAGACTTTCATATCCAGTTGTAGACCAACTATGGAATATGTTTTTTAAAAGACTTAATATTAGGGGCCAGTGCAATAGCTCAACTGTCTAATCCTCTGCCTCCAAGCATCGGCATCCCATGTGGGCACCAGTTCACGTCCCGGCTGCTCCACTTCCCGTGCAGCTCCCCATTTGTGGTCTGGGAAAGCAGTGGAGAATAGCTCAAAGCCTGCACTGTGTGAGAGGTCCAGAAGAGACTGGCTGTGCTCCAGCCATTGAGGCCATTTGGGGAGTGAACCAAGTAAAAGCCCAACTTAAATAGATAAATTCTGGGTTTTGTATGGTGGTATCAGCATCCCATATGGGAACTTGCAGTTCAGCTCTCTGCCAATAGCCTGGGAAAGCACAATGGAGGATGACCCAAGTGCTGAGGCCGCCGGGGTACCCAGGTGGAGAGCCAGGAGTTGTTCTTGGCTCTCGGCTTTGGACTAGTCCAACTCTGGCTGTTACAGACATTTGGAGAGTGAACCAGAGGGTGGAAGATGTGCCTTTCTCTCCCTAACGCTCAAGTAAAATCAAATCTAAAACTTCTTCCACAAACTGTGAAGTCTAAGTCCTAACTCTGTTATATTAGTTTTCTGTATGATTAATATATGACCCAAATCCCTGACGTCTTTTACCTTAGCATTCTTCCTTTTCAGATTCTTCCACATCTGGGCTTCTTTAAGCTACAAACGAAAAAATTCATGTGTACATGCCAGAATTGTTACTTTCACATAATTCACATCTAATTTAAAAGCAACATATAAAATAGGTAGTGCTAATTTTAAGGTTGGAGTTCATGATCAGAACCAGAAATCCACACAGAATAGAGTTCAGCTTAAAACAAGCTTTACTTGGAGCACTCTAGGGCAAGTTCACTGGTCCGGTATAGACAGTGGGCCAGGGAAGTCATGCCCAGGGGATGTGAAGGATTGTTTTTATTTGAGAGCTGTGGGGAGGGGGGGGAGACAAAGAATGTGCCTTCTAGAGTGTCATAGGCTCCCTTGGACCTTGGTGGGTCCATATGTCACTGCTGGCCGAGAAGGAGGCTGCCTTCTGGGACGACATCAGCCACCCTTCTCAGCCTCCTCCTAGGCCGGCCCTCACATACCCCAGCTGGGCCTCATGCTAATGACCGCTACCACAGTGCCCAAAAATGTGACCTTTTCTATAACAGTGTGCTGCCTCAGGAGAAGCTGGGAAATAAGCCCAGAAATTTGTCAGTGAACTTACCATTTTGATGAGTTCTTCTTTAATATTCAAATGAAATTTATTGATGGCTTCTTTACAGATTTTAGATTCTATTCTTTCTCTGCAGAGGAGTTAAAAAAATGAAACTAGATATGAAGGATTTTTGAAATGGGTGTTTCTTTGGTTTAGTGTAATTAACATACATGCACAATTTGGCATATACCATTTTATTATCTAAGATGGTAAGATATAGCACTTTCTCAGACTTAATACAGGAAGCATATCCTGAAAATGAAATATCCTGAAAAGAAAATGAACAGAAAGATTTTCCTCCAAGTGCTCTGAAATGGGGGAGTGGGGGTGGAAGAACCATGCGCATTGCCTGACAGTGGCTAAGTGCACACATGGTACCCGGTGATGCGGAAACACTTCCAGCCAATCCCAGTCTTCTATCATGTGATCTAACAACCAGCAGTCCCTATTCCCTCCTTTCCGGCCTGTTAGCTACTAGAAGGAAGTTCTATGTGTGGACTAACCTGTGCATCAGCAGCCATAAGTCACCTGTCCAGTCCTTCGGAAACTGGCAAGCTAACCTGCAGAAGCCAGTTCCCGCTCCTGTCATCCGGCAGGCAGCAGGTGGAGGCCGGCCTCTGCTGCTCCTGAGTCTGTGTCTTGTACAACAGAAATTTCCAAATTTCCAGAAGTCCAGCTTACCTACTCTTCTATAGACTGTGCCTTCAGTGTTGTTACCAAGTCACTGCTAAGCCCAAGGTCATCTCTTCTAAGAGTTTTTGCGGTTTTTAGATCCGGCCTTCAATTTGAGACAGTTTTTATGGGGTACTAGATTTCTATGTACATTTAGGTTTTACGTACGTGGATGCTCAGTTATGCCAGCACCACTTGCTGAAGACTGTTCTGCCTCTACTGAGTGGCCTCTGCTACCCTGTCAAAGATAAGCTGATTCTATTTCTGAGGAATGTCTGGGCTCTCTGTTCCGTTCCATGGAACTATTTGTCTTTTTTTTTTTTTTGGCCAATGCCACACTTTTTTATTATCACGCAGTTACAGTCAGTTTCGGCATCAGACAGTGTCAGTCTCCAACATCAGTCCTGTGGTGGCTGTTCTGGGTATTTTGCCTGTGTAACTACAGAACCAGCTTGTTGACATCTACAAAATAACTGGCTAGGATTTTGATTGGGTTTGATTTTTGATTGGGTTTTGATTGGGTTTTGATTGGGTTTGAATCTGGTAGCTCAAGCTAAAAAGAACTGACATCCTGTCCACAGGGAGTGCCCAGATGGTGACAGAGTATCTCTCAGTTTATCTAGTACTTCTTTGCTTTCATTCATCAGAGTTTAATATTATTCTTCATATTGATGTTGCAGATATTTCGTTAGATATATAGCTAGGTACTTCATTTTAGCTGCTGCTAATATAAATGACGTGTGTTTCATTTCATGTTCTCCCTTATTTGTTTCTGCTCTATAGAAAAGCGATGGACTTTGGTGTTAACCTGATATCCTGCAGCCTTGCTATGATTGTAATTAGCTCTACGATATTTTGGTCTATTCTTTCAGACATTTTATATAGACATTTTTACATAGACAGTCATGCCACCTTTCAGACATTTTCTGTAGACAGTTTCATTTCTTCCCTTCCAATCTGTCTACCTTTAATTTTCTTTTCTTATTGCATTAGCCAGGACTTCAGTACGATAATGCAAAGAAATGATGGGGGCTGCTATGGTGGCATAACAGACTAATCCTCCATCTGTGATGCCAGCATTCCACATGGGCAGTGGTTCATATCCCAGCTACTCCATTTCCAATTTAGTTCCCTGCTTATGACCTGGGAAAGTAGCAGAGGACGGTTCAAGTCCTTGGGACATACACCTTACATGGGAGACCCAGAACAAGCTCCAGGCTTCAGATTGGCCCAGCTCGTGCGGTGAGGCCATTTGGAGATTAACCCAGCGGACAGAGGCTTGCTGTCTCTGTGAAAGTTAAAGATTTATTTTACTTGACAGAGCAGTAGCCAGAGCTGACCTCATCTGAAGCCAGGAGCCTGGAGCTTCACCCTGGTCCTCCATGTGGGTGCAGGGGCTCTCTGCTGCTTTCCCAGGTCTTGAGCAGGGAGCTGGATCAGAAGTGGTGAAGACAAGACTCCAACCAGCACCCATATGGGATGCCAGTGTATTGTAGGTGGCAGCTTTACCTGTTATACTACAGAACTGGCCCCAAAAACATTTTAAAAGTAGGAGAAACTGCCCAGGCCTTCTGTGTGTGGTTCACGATAACAAATGGATTCTATACAGTCTACATATTATGCCAAGACACAGCTCTTTCAAATTTTAATGCCTTAAAAATCCGGCCACTTACAGATTTAGCTATAGAATATCCTATGAGTTTATAACACTCACATTTCATGTCCCTGCTTATACATACTGACAAACTGCTTACAGTGAGTCTGTTAGCAAAACAAAACACATCAGGGTTAATGGGAGTAGGGTATCAAAAATAGACCCACAAGAAGTTGTTTGGTTGATTTTGAAAGCATGAAGTGTTTCATGTGGCTGAGAATCTGGCTCACAAAAACTAAATGGATCAGTGATTTTGGTGACTGTTTAATGTGACAAAAACACAGGATTGTTTTGTACTTTTGAATCTATGAAAAATACAAGCAAAGTATACTTTATCCAACATGCTTTGGGTCAGAAGTGTTTTGTGCTTTGGATTTGTGGATGTAAATGTTTTGGATTTGCACATGTGTACTCAAACATAATCAGATTTCATCTGAACAGGACCCAAGTCACTTATATTTTTAATACAACACCTTAAAAACACAACTTGAAGGTAATTTTGCGTGATATTTTTTGTTGTGTGTTTTGACTAATCCATCACAAGATCAGGTGTGGAGGTGTGGAATTTTCCACTATGGCCTCATGTCAGTGCTCAGTTTCAGATCTGAGGACACTTTACACCTGGGTTTTCCACTTAGGGATGTTCAAGGCATCCGTCCCACTTCCTACTATGCTGACGGTGGCCATTTGGCCCTGACCCAATTTCTGGCTCCCTGCTACTCAGGCCCTTGGTAGCAGCAGTAGTAGCTCAAGCAACTGGCTCCTGCCCACCAGGTGGGAGATTCCTGGATTGCGGGCATTTGGGGAGCAAGATGGTCTGGGCTGTGTTAACAAAACAAGTTGTAACAGCAGACCAGCTCTATATATTACAAACTAGACAATGATAAGGCAGGCACAGCCCACAAGGACACAGCAGAGTTATTGCAAGGTGGGCTGGTCCTGTTTGATGTCAACTCTGCAGAACCAGAGAGGAAATACTGCAAAAACAGATAAAACTGTGAAATAACCCCCTACCCACTGGCCCCCAGGGGAGCAACAGAGAGGAAAAAGTGCTGGCTGGGAGCTGGGATGGCTGAAGAGCAGTTGAGATCCCAGAACCACACACAAACAGCACCTGCCCAGCACCTGACGGCTGCGGTGCTGAGCACCTCCATCCTCCAGACCCATCAAGCAGGCCCACAGGGAGGCTCACCTTCGGCGGCTGTCTCAGCTTTACCAGGGAGGGTGACCAGACCACAGGTCTCCTGAGACAACGTGGTATCTTGGGAGACAGGCAATTGAGGCTTGCTGCCCTTGGCCTGACCACCTCCGTCTCTGGCACCCCCGAGAACAGCTGGCCGCCAGGGAAGTGGGCTAAGCACAGACAGCCCTGCAGGAGGCACAGCAGTGTGAGGGGAAGCTGCCTGGGATCGCACTCCATCAGACCAATCCAGGAGGCGCATCAGTGATGTGAAATTACTCTAGTAATAATCTGAGCATAACATTCACGGCAAAAAAAAACCATGAATTTAAGACCTCCCCAAAAGAGCTAGGAGCCAAAGAGTGCAACAAAGGACAGATGTGAAATATGGCTGAACACATACATCCAAGGACATTAGCAAATGTTCTAACCTGTACATCAGGAAAAACAAAGGATAAGTGCTGAAACCTGTTAGGTCACTGGTTCAACACCAAGCCCGGTGATGCTGGCTGCAGCTGGCTCACCCGCAGCCAAGTGGACTGTTCAGTGCTCGGGAAAGCCCCTCAGCGGGCCATCCCAGACTGCTGGGACGATGCGCCAGGAGCCTCTCCCAGGATCCCTGCTGCACACCCTTGCCCACACCTCACCTGGACCCACGGGGCACTCCACACCTCCCCCCGCAAGCCAACCTGTCTGATGCCCAAATGGAATGATGCTCTTTCTTCAAAGCCCCTGGCCTCCCTCCTGGGAAAGATTCATCCTTCTAGAAGCCACTAGGAACATGTGCAATTCACGGAAGGGGGCCCAAAATGTCAGCATGAAGCATCTGAAAGGCACTGATTCCAACCACTGGAGATGACCGAGGGGGCTGGAGACTCGGATGGAGAAAAGATCTTCAAATGTGAAGGAAACAGCAGAAAGAACCAGAACCAGAAGTGGAGCCTAAAGATGCAGCTGCACTGCTGCCAGCTCCTGACCAAGGGTTACCAGGTGAGCAGCTGCTTCCTGTGGGCTGAATGGAGCAAGCAGCTTAAGATGGAACCTGTGTCTGCAGAGGATGCTGTACGCAGATCAAGCAGAAGATTCAGGACATCACACAGACACAGCCAGGAGGCTGGCAGGAACTTCAGAGGGTCTAGGAGAAGTTCTACTCTGGGTAAACCACTCTCAAACAGTGCCCCATACTACAGAGAAATCTTCCAGGAAAAGCAGAGTGGACCAATGTGGCCAGCTTCATTTTTGACCTATTTTAAGAACTCGTCACAGCCACCCAGCAACCAGCACACTGCGTAGTCAGCAACCTCAGGGTCAGACCAGAGAAACAAGTCTGACTCATCCAGCAGATGAGTGATAGTTGTTCAGCAAATACTTCACACCAAGTTACTTACAGTTCTTCGACCCAGTACTAGTACTACAGTATAGTATAAATGTAACTTTCAGATGCTCTGGGAAACCCAACACTAACCACTCACTTTATAGTGATTATTTGATTTACTACTATTGCCTGGAACCAAACCCTCATTGTCTTTGCATGTCTTTAGTTAGACTGTCCAGTCTGGCAAATGTTCGCAAAGGAAAGGTCATGATGCATATTAGCATCAGATAAGGTAGACCTGAAAACCAAAAAGTACTTTCTACCAATGGAGACAGTCACCACATGATGGTAAAATGTTTTAATTTATAAAGCGGAGCAATTTTAAGTATAATGTTCCTAATAAAATGGTCTCTAAAATATACACAGCACAAACAAGTCCCCCAAAAACCTGAGTAACTACTGGTTCCATATACACAATAATTAAACATGCTACCCAAATCCAGTAACTAGAATCTGCATAAAATCGTGTGCTAGACTGTAAAAGCCTCCCCATTCCAAAGTAGATATTGTTATATCATCACCTATGTTGATCTTTGATTATGGCCTAAAGATAGAAAAGTAAAGCTTCACATATTTGGACATACAAAAACTCTGCTAAATAACAGGGTTAAAGAAAAATTGCAATGGAAACAAAAAACGTTTTAAAATGTAACGAAAACACTACATTCCAAAAACCTGCAATATGCCAAAGTTGTACTTGAAAGGGAACTGATTAGATATTAGTAGCACACATACCAAAACATCAACACTTACTTATACTCCAGGATTGTTTTCTCAAACGCAGACAAAACAATATCCAACTCCATGATGTCACTGCTCTTTTTTCCTTCTAGACACCAAATATGCATGCTGTCAGAAATATCTAGAATCAGATCAAATTAAAATGCACATTTTTCATAATTTGGCTATAGAGACAGGGTTCTCAAAGCTTGAAAAAAAATATCCCCACTAAATGGCTAACGGCAGGTACAGTCGAAAAATCATGCAAAACGTCATTCTGACTGCATCCTGCCCCAGTGTCCACAAACCCTATCTGCATGGTCACTTGCTTCCTGCTGAGGCCGCCGAGAGCACCGCTGCCCTTTAATGACCTGGTGCCTTGCCTGAGCATGGCTGTCCAACAGCACGCATGAAAAAGGCCTTGCTGGCAGCGCTTAGTAAACTGCACTATCTCATAATTGGCACTTGCAGAATCCATGAAGAGTTCTCAGTGCATTGTTTTACAATGCCACATTAGTGTTCTGGAGTAGGAATCGGAAGACCTACATCTCTAGGCTGAGATTTCTAGCCTGGAGTGCTTAGGCAAGTCAACTTTTGAGAAGCCCAATTTTCTCAACACTGAAATGAAGAATCCAATCAAGATATCTGAACTGAAGAACTACAATACAGGCCCAGCACAATAGCCTCGTGGCTAAATCCTCGCCTTGCAAGCTCCGGGATCCCATATGGGCGCCAGTTCATATCCCAGTTGCCTCACTTCCCATCCAGCTCCCTGCATGTGGCCCGGGACTGCCCAAAGCCTTGGGATCCTGCACCCATGTGACCCAGAATAATCTCCTGGCTTTGGATTGGCTCAGCTCCGGCTGTTGCAGGCGCTTGGGAAGTGAACCAGCAGAAGGAAGATCTTTTTCTCTGTCTCTCCTCCTCTCTGTATATCTTCCTTTCCAATAATAAATAAATCTTTAAATCAAGAATTACAATGCACATTTGTATTTTTTTTTTCCTGTCAATTCATAAGGTTAGCATTAACCACTAGCAAAACATATTTTTTCCTAATTAGCTCCTTATATAATATTGCAAACCCAGGGACACACCTACAGTGTGTTCACTTCAGATCCCCCTGGATCCGAGTCCGGCTCACGGCTGTGGCAGGTTCATGGCAGCACACACCTTCTGCTCCTCTTGCTCATTTCCCATGTTAAAGTGCTGGTTGAAGTCCAGCTCCTCTGGTCCAGATCTGGTGACCCACCAATGCCCCTGGAGGGGCATAAGGCCCAGCAACTTGGGCCTCTGCCACCCACGTGGGAGATCAGGACAGAGTTCCTGGCTGCGGCCTTTAGCTGGGCCCAGCCCTGGATGCTGTGCCCATGTGGGGAGTGAACCAGCAGACAAAAGACCTCTGGCACCGCCTTCCCATCAATAACCCTGATTTGGCCACTATCTCCCTATCCAAGTCCCTGCTGACCCAAACTCAGGAACCAGGAATTCCAGAACAAAAATCTGTAAAAGTTGTTTTGTTTTAAATACAGTATCTAAAGATCTTACTAGTCTAAATAAAGCCTTCCTTAACCTCTCAGAAATAGATCTGAAATTATTTAAAAAATCACTATATCCAGCCTATCCAAAATTATTTAACATTTTTGGCATCAAAATCACTGGGTTATCGTATATGCGTGAGACCATTTATACATGCAATAGAAAGGTGAATAACCCTGGGACGCCGGGGAAGCCTAAGAAAGGAAGATTAACAAGGGAAGCACCCAGCACTGCCCCGACATGGTCCCGTGCGGGTCTCTGGATAAGCAGAAGTCCTTGACTTTATTCAAGTCAAAATCATTTCCATTATAGTCTTAGTGTTTGGTGTCTTATTTAAGAACCCTTCACTAATTCATTTACATATGCCTGTACTTTCTCTAAAATGTGTCTAATGGAACCTTCCACATTTAAATCTTTATGTCATTTAGAAGTGTTATATTTATTTGAAAATCAGAGAGAGAGAAAATTTCCATAGGCTGGTTCACTCTCCAGAGGGTGCCGCAGCTGGGGAAGGGCCAGGGTTGGTGTCCCAGGTCCCTGCCCGATTCCCCCTTCCTACCAGCATGCCCCACTCCTTGAGTCCCTGCCACACACACGAGGCCGGGCAGGAGTTCCTGATGCTTCAGTCTTGCGCAGTCATAGCTACTGTGAGCATCTGGGGAAAATGAATCAGCAGGAGGGCAATCTCTCTAAATAAGGAAAATAAACAAGTAAATCGCCATCCTGTACCTGCACTGCTGGTGTCCCTTCTTGGTTTCCTTCTTTTGCCTTGACACACATTCTTTCTCTGAGCTTTCTATAAAAATAAAGTAGCACATGTGTTCATTCAAGCAGTTTAGAGTAATGGAAAAACAAGGACAAACAGAAAATAAGCATTAAAACAAGCCTGAGCCATTTCAATAATTACATCAAAAGAAAATAAACCAACCAATCTAGTTAGAAGGCAGACACTTTCAAACCTGGATAAGGATATGCCTGAAGTCCTTTCTCAATTTAAAGACAAAAACAAGTTGAAAAAAAAAAAAAGTTAAAAAGGCTTCACTTTCAATCCAGTTCCCATATGTGCACAGGTTCTGATCCTGGTGGCCGCGCTTCCCATCCAGCCCCCTGCTTCTGGCCCTGGAAAGCAGTACAGGATGACCCAGGCCCTTGGGACCCTGCACCCATGTGGGAGACGTGGAAGAAGCTCCTGGCTCCTGGCTTTGGATTGGCTTAGCTTCGGCTGTTGCAGCCACTTGGGGAGTGAATCACTGGACAAAGAGCTTCCTCTCTGTCTCTCCTCTTCTCTGTATATCTGCCTTTCCAATAAAAGTAAATCTTTTAAAAAAAAAAAAGGGGGGGATGGCTTAGCATGCAGAATAAGCATAAGACAGTTCATCTGGCTAGATTAAGATCATACAATATTGACTTTTCAAGATTTCATGACACTAGGAACCATTCATCAGGAAATACAACCTAAATAAACACAATTTCAAGCAGCCTTACACGGAGCACAGTAGTGGTTACAAGAAGCTGGACAGAGGGAGTGCGCAGGGAAGTCATTAAAGGGTACAATGTTGGCCCAGTATAATTTATCCCCTATGGATGCTGGTTCAATTCTCCACTGTTCGTTTCTGATCCAGCTCCCTGCCAATGCATCTGGGAAAGCAGAGGAAGATGGTCCAAGGGCTTGTGCACCTGCAGCCACATGGGAGACCCAAAGGAAGCTCCTGGATCGGCTCAGCTCCAGCCATTGTGGTCATATTGTGGGTGAAAAATCTCACTGTCCTTCCCTAACTTCACCTTTCAAACAAATTTAAAAAAAAACAAAACAAAAAAAATCAACAAAAAAAACCAACCTATGTAATTGATATCAAGTAGACCAAAATAAACAAAAACCCTCCACAACAAAATAAGGCCACACATTGTAACTTCACTATCAAACTGATCTTAATCAACACATATGGACTACTATACCTAACAACTGCAAATTTCAAGGGCACACGGGCTTTTCACCAAGACAAACTCAATAAGATGCAGAAGAACATGCATACTATCCTTCCATTTGTAAAAAAGAGAAATGGGGCCTGGCGTGGTGGCACACCAGATACAACGACCGCCTACAACACTGGCATCCCACAGGGACACCAGTCCATGTCTCTGATGCTTCACTTCCAATCCAGTTCCCTGCTAATGCTCTAGGAAAAGCAGAAGATGGTCCAAGTATAGGGTGCCCTACACCCATTCCAGGAGACCTGTATAAAACTTGCATCTCTAAGTTTCAGCATGTCCAGCTGGAGAGTGAACCAACAGATACAAGATCTCTAACTTTGACTTTCAAACAAAAAGTAACATTCATATTTACTTATAAATAAACATGTGAAAGGAAACTCTGGAAGAATACATTAGAAACCAATTGCCACCCAGCTGTTGCTGCATTGTACCTAGGCAGGTGTTAACACTTCTGCAAGAAAAGCAGCCAATAGCTGGAGGGCATTCTGGGCCTGGTCAATATCACATTTGTGCTAACCATACCAGTGTGCCAGCATAGCTGCTTAATCTTTTTTTGGTTATTTCTTAAAGTGACCAGCCATGCCACTGCACTTGCAGGTGAACAAGGGGTCTGAGACTTGGCAGTTTGAAAGAGGGAAACCAGAGGACCAGTGCACCCACCCATATGAGAGACCTGAGCCAGGCTACTTGGCACCAGCCACTGCCCACTGACACACAAAAGTTAGGGCTTGGGGCCCTGCACGGCAGGGCTAGCCCATAGTAAGTTTTGGGGTAGGGGGTATACCACTTTAGGCTGGGCCATGACACTAATCAGCACACAAGAGAGCCAAGTCTGGGGGCAGATTCTATGGGGGATTTGTGGGCTCACTACTGTAGGACTGTAGGACCCTCTGCTTTGCTCAAGGACTGGGACTGGGGACTGGCTGAGCTAGGCATGACCATGGAACTGACTGACACCCAGCATAAGGTGTCAGGGGTAGGGGGGCAGCATGTGGACCGGGCAGGGCTGGGCAAAGCCACACCACACTGACATGTGCAGGAGCCAGGATAAAGTACAGGCCATCCCGGGCTAGGCTGTCACACCTACCAGTTTCACATGAGAACAGGTATGGGGGCAGGCTGGGCAAGTCTTGGCTGCAGCACTTATCAGTGAGAGATGAGACTCAGGAGGGTCAGGCCAGGCCAGGCTGCAGATTCCAATGGCAAGGAGCAAGACAGGGCAGAGTTGGGGGTAGGTCATGCCAGAGTGGGTTGGAGCAACCACCAGCACGTGCAGGTGTTAGAACTGTGCCTCCTTGATTGCTGATGACTGTGCAGTGCAACACGCCCAAGCAAGGACAAGAGAGCCCCTCATTTGGGTTTGCAGAGGACAGCGAGTGTCATCTCAGGAGATGGAACAAAGAACGGGTTGGACAACTCTCCTCGCTGAGCCTCGGCTGCAAGTGTCTGAGCGAGTGGGAGCACTGGGGTCGACTGTCAGCCAATGGGCCTTGGAAAGATTTTCTCAACCATACAGCAACAAGATCTCAGAATTATCAAGGTGACTCAAGCAATACCCTCAGGTGTTCAGTGTCCTGCCCCACACCAGGGATCCTATGATGACATCAAGGGAACATCCCCCCATCTCTGGGTACTGATATAGTTTGTCAACTGGGAGCGGCCCCCTCCCCTTCCATCCATCCACACCCACCCCCTGATCCAGGAGAAAATGAAAGAAAAGGAAAATTGGGAGCATTTGTCCCACCCTCCTTTCCCCACACCTCGACCTTCCCCACCAGTGGGCCTCATGGGTATGCAGCCTTGTCAACTACGTAAACAACATCAGAAGTAAAATCATTAAACAAAAGAAACTGCCTACGTGTGCATTTAGGGAGAAGGTGGAAAGTGGAAGACAGAGGAGCGGGAGATGATACTATAACATGTTGTCAAATATGAGATGAATTACTTATTCAAATTGTTAACCAACCAAATAAACTGACATATGTCAAGAATCTTAGATTCTGACCCAGAAATTGTACCAGAACTATTTTTTCTAAGGGTATACACACGATTTAGCTACAAAGAGAGTTTCATTAAAGCATTTTTCCACTAATAAGAGATTCATTGCATTATGGCACAACCATGCACAGAACGGCATGCACCATAAGCGTGGCACTGTTGAGGTACCTCATGGCAAGCAGGCGCCCACGCAGGGCAAGAATGTCCAAAGGGCTGAGGAGTACAGCTGCAAACATGGGGGCTATCCTTGGGTTATGGAAACACAGGCAAACATCATCCTCTCTGGATTTTCCAACACATTTTTATAGTAAGAAAAACACAAAATTTATCTTTTAAAATAACCGACAGAAACAAACAAGCCTTGTTAAAAAAATTCCATCTAGTCTTTTCTTTGCCCGCAGTGGCAGCTCTTACCTGCGGCCTCGATGTGGCCAGGGGGTCTCTCTCAGCCGACGCCTGGCCACGCAGGTCTCCTCGCCTCTCAGGCAGGGCTGACTTGGCTGGTGTCCCTGGGGTCCCCGAAGGCATCCCAGTTGGAGAAGCTTCATACTGCCGCACACTTATTTTCTCTGGCTGTGAAACTTTTCTTCTCATCTCACTTGTTTCACAGCTTTCGGAATCGTCGCTGAGCGGTTTACGTTTTCTTGCCGGCTGTGTGAAGAAAGCGGCACCACTGCCTAGGGGAACACAGATGCTCGCCACTCTGACTGCAAGGGCACAAAACTGGGCGCTCACATTTCCCCTCTGGAAGTTTCAAAACTGAACATAACAGGAGATGGCAACGTGACCAGTGGCCAGAACAAGAAAACCACAAAGAGCCCCAGACCAACATTCCCAACCGCCGCCTCTGCCGCTGAGTCGCGACCTGAGCACATCACAGGCTGCTCTGGAAACCAGCACACACACCCGAAAAACAGGAGCAACACTTCAGACGAAAAAGATTTCACTTTTATGATTAAGAGATCTTCCGCAACTAAATACTTTCCCTTTAAAAAAAAAAAAATGTTGCCACAGAACATTTTCTTCTGTCTGCATCCGACAGAAACAGGAAATGCCTCCCAAAGTTAGATGATGATGTGCACATACCTTTTTGGCGCTGATTTGTACGGATTCATCTTCACTTGCTTTATTTTCAGAAGTGTTCACACTGTGGCAAAGAATAAGCCATCAGTACCGTGCAAACATTCACACAGCAGCTCTGCCGTTTGCTCACCCAACCCAAAATACTGCTCGACTAATTGCAGCCCGGGCAGGCCTGTCACCTTCCTGGACATGTTGGCCAACTGCCCCATCCAGCCACGTCCGGTGAGCACCTCGCAGGCAAGCAGCAGTTCAAGGCACATTTTGGTCACATCTGAGAACCACGTCTGTCTTTTAGTTATCGGTCTCAGATATGCGGGCTAAGAGCCAGTCCACTAGACCCGGCTTTGGTAGTGGAAGAGGGAATATTTTCCTTTGTCCTTTGAAAAAAATAATCCTAACCTCAGATGGGAGACAATGCTTCTTTCATCTTCTCATTCAATGCAATCAACATTTAACATGAACCTCAAAATGCATGCACTCAAAAATGAGGCATGAGGGGCCTGGCGGTGTGGCCTAGCAGGGCCTTGAACACGCCAGGATCCCATATGGGTGCCGGTTCTAATCCCGGCATCCCCGCTTCCCTTCCAGCTCCCAGTCTGTGGCCTGGGAAAGCAGTCGAGGATGGCCCAAAGCCTTGGGACCCTGCACCCATGTGGGAGACCCGGAAGAAGTTTCTGGATCCTGGCTTCAGATCGGCATTGCACCGGCCATTGCGCTCACTTGGGGAGTGAATCATTGGACAGAAGATCTTCCTCTCTGTCTCTCCTCCTCTCTGTACATCTGCCTTTCCAATAAATAAATAAATCTTTAAAAAACAAAACAAAACCAAAACAAGGCATGAGGCAGACATCTGGGCCAGTGATGAAGATACTAAGTCCGCATTCGAGGGCCTGAGCTCGACACTGGTTTTTCACTTCAGCTTGCCGCTGCAGCACATTGCTCAGAGCAGCGGTGACGGCTCAGACAACCGACCTCTGGCCTGGCCACATTCAGTCGTCTCAAGTGAGAGGGTAGTTTGTCAAACACTTGGCTTTTACTATTGGTTTTCAAAACCATCTCACAAAAACCGGAGTTCCCAGAGGAGTACAGAACTTCCATAATTCAGATAACCCCAAAGTGACTTCCTCATTCAGTTTTCTGCCTAAGTGAAACAGCTGTGTTTAAAATGCAGTTCTGGACCCAGCACGGTAGCCTAGTGGCTAAAGTCCTCGCCTTGCACACCCAGGATCCCATATGGGCGCCAGTTCATATCCCAACTGCTCCACTTCCCATCCAGCTCCCTGCTTGTGGTCTGGGAAAGCAGTCGAGGGCGGCCCAAAGCCTTGGGACACTGAACCCATGTGGGAGACCCAGAAGCTCCTGGCTCAGTTCCAGCCATTGCAACCACTTGGGGAGCGAGCCAGAAGACGGAAAGTCTATCTCCCCTTCTCTGTAAATCTGACTTTCCAATAATAAACAAACAAATCTTTAAAAAAAAGTGGTTCTGACTCCTTCAAAATACATTCAATACTGGAATTGATCTATTACCTAGTAAGGTCTCTAAGTGTTTGCTCTAATCATTTATAATTAATCCTAAAGTTATTAAGTTCTGCCTTATATTAACCTCTTCTAAAGTTGTCTCTGACCCATATCGTCACAGAAATTCAGAGAATTCAACCTGACGCTCCTCAGAGACAAGATGCCTGAAGCACGCTTCGTGTCTGCTTGGCGACCAGCCTGTGTCCTCGGGCGCGGGGAGGATTCTCCCAGCAGCACCTGGAGCTCGGTGCTCACAGCCTTCCCTGCTCTCACCGGTTACGCTCCAAAGCCCGACCCCTTCCGCAGGCATGGCTTCTAGGATTCCGCAAGTGTCAGTTACGTTACTTATGAAAATCAATAATTATTTAACACAACGCCAAGTATGGAGAAATTTGTTTTGAACGTCCAAGTTCTCTCGAGGAAGCACCCACCAAGTTGGCTCAAAGTAAAATTCCCAAGTCTGAGCATTACCAGCTTCCGACTGAAAGAGCTTCGCACACCCCACAGCGGGGCCGAGCCCCGGCTCCCACGGACGTACCTGCCTCGCGCCTTCTCTCCCGGAGGGGTTGAACGGACGGATGAGCCACAGTGTCGCGAGAGTTCCTCCTCGTCAGCATAGATGGCGGTGCTGTGGAGAGGAGGGTCTAGGCGAGACCCAAGCACACAGTCTCAGCGGTCCGTGAGCAGTGTTCCTGCCGCAGAGCAACCTGCTTAAACGGCTAACAAAGCCAGCATCAACCCGACAGGGCACCCATTCCCGCCTCTTACCACTCCTCCACGACACAGCACACATCAACAACCAATGTCAGTTATCCATCTTTGCTGCAGGACTTATATGTTAATAGAAATACCTTATTGTGTTAAAGCAACATAAATAGGAAGTCTAACCTTTTCTCCCCTCACCCATGGACTGTCTCCTTGGGAAATCCTGACTGGTGAATTCTACTGCTTTAGTGTAGTGTCATTGGCAGGACTGTTTCCTCCCAAAGTGTCTTACCCACAGAGGGCTCTCAGTATTGGTGAATGAATGGCTCTTCGGTCAAACAGGCCAGTCCTTCCTCCCTTCCTATTTTATTCTGGATTGGCTGGAGCCTTTGGGTAGCATAAAAAGTTGACTTGAGGGTCCTGCGCTGTAGCCTAGTGATTAAAGTCCTTACCTTGCATGCAATGTGATCCCATATGCATGCCAGCTCTAATCCTGCCCACTTCCTATCCAGCTCCCTGCTTGTGGCCTGGGAAGGCAATTAATGCCGGCCCAAAGTCTTGGGACCCTGCACCTGCATGGAAGATCAGGAAGAAGCTCCTGGCTCCTGGCTTAGGATCGGCTCAGTTTTGGCCATTGTGGCCGCTTGGAGAGTAAATTAACAGACAGAAGATCTTCCTCTCTGTCTCTCCTCCTCTCTGTATATCTGACTTTCCAATAAAAATAAAATAAATCTTTAAAAAAAAAAAAGTTAACTTGAATGCGGAAGATGGCAAAAGAACAACTGGTCTTGGGCCTGGCGCAGTGGCGCAAGTGGTTAAGGTCCTCGCCTTGCACGCCCGGGATCCCATATGGGCGCCGGTTCTAATCCCCGCAGCCCCGCTTCCCTTCCAGCTCCCTGCCTGTGGCCTGGGAAAGCAGTCCAGGACGGCCCAAAGCTTTGGGACCCTGCACCCGCGTGGGAGACCCGGAAGAGGCTCCTGGCTTCAGATCGGCATAGCATCGGCCCGTTGCGCTCACTTGGGGAGTGAATCATCGGACGGAAGATCTTCCTCTCTGTCTCTCCTCTCTGTATATCCGCCTTTCCAATAAAAATAGAATAAATCTTAAAAAAAAAAAAAAAAAAGAACAACTGGCCTTGCCGCATCGACAGGAGCCACCTGGAGGAGGGGGTGCTCCTGCCCGCCCAGGAGAGTACAGGGATCGTGGGGTGCTGGGTCGGCGTCCGGTTACAGTGGAGGCCTTGGTAGGGCAGTGAGGGGACCAGCAGGGACAGAGCTGAACTGCTGCACGAGTTAAGGACGTGCTGGAGAGAACAGCACTGCTACTTCTTCAGGCTCGGGTTTTAGCAGGACAGGGCAAATGTGAGCAGAATGTTTCAGATCCACTGCTGCTTAAATGATCAGCTACTGATTGCACAGGTCAGTAATCTACTTTTTATTGCTCTCCATAAGGCAAAGGATTTCGTTTGTGAAGAGAAGAAAAAATCCAACAAATCCCTAATCACCAAATATAACCAGTCATTCTAGCTGGATTCTTACATCTTACTAAAACTCAATTTAAAAATAGTGTGGTTAGCGCTTCAGAGAAGACGTACTACTGACCAGTAAGGCTGTTGAGAACATACTTAGTAACGATTAAACAGTTAGGAAATGCATATCAAAATCACAATGAGTTACTATGTCATCTCTCTTAGCATAACAACAAAACAAGTAGAGGGGAGGGTGTGGAAGCCAGACACCTGTGCATCGCTGCCGGGAATGTAAACTGCTGCACGGCGCTTACTCAAACACGCCAACACAGACCGTGCAATGCAGCCCTTGCACTGCTGGGCATGAACCCAGGAGCAGGCAAAGCAGGCCCGGGGCGACGGCTGTGCGCCTGCGTTAGCTACAGCATTACTAGCAACAGTCAAAGGGCGGGAGCAAGCTACACATTCACCAACAGATGAATGGATAAATGTGACATATCTACATCATGCACATGTATAATGGAATATTATTCTGCTTTAAAAAGAAATCCTTTTTAAAGGAGGGATGAACCTTGAAGACATTAAATAAATCCCCAAGTGGCGGACATTACAGGACTCCTCCAACAGGAGGCGCTTCGGGAGTCCATTCCTACGGGAAATACAAGAGTGGTTGGTTGCCAAGGGCTGAGGCACAAGGAGAACAGGGCATGTCCAATGGGCACAGAGCCTCAGCTAGCAAGATGGGTAAGTTCTAGAAACGAACTGTGAGGATAGTTGTACAAAAATGTGAACGCCACAAAACTGCACTTAAAATATTTAAAATAACAAACGTTATAGCTTTCCATATACACAAAACCACTGCTTCATACTATTTAAGAATCAAAACATTAAGCTAATAAGTTGAGATGTAAAGAAATTAGAACCTTGCTGCAGACATATAAAGTGTTAGTTGCTTTATAACACAGTCCTTCAAAAAAAACCTAAAAATACCGAAGTACTCAGCAAGTCCATGCAGAGATAGTATGTGCCGACGGCAGCTGAGAGCACGCGCCCACCCAAACACCTGCACGGAGTTCTCCAGCACAGCTCCAAAGTGGGCAGAGCCAAGACTTACACCACCATAGGAACGGGTGACAACGTAGTACGCCCACCCAATGGAATCCTGAGTAGTAAGAACGTTTAGAAATGAGCAAATGCATGCTGCAATATGAACGAACATATGTGAAAACAGCAAGCTAAGTGTCAAGTCAATCACACATTGACCGAGAACTGTTCAGAACATGCAAATCCACAGAAACCAGGTGGGACTGCCAGGAGTCCAAAGGCAGGGGAACAGGGAGCGAGTGCAACTACCTGCAGGGCTGTGAGGGTAAGAAATGTGTTCTAGAATCAGGTGGTGGTGGCAATTACACAACTTTTGCATACACTACTAACCAATGAATTATATACTGCAAAAGAACGAATTTTGGGGCCCGGCATGGTAGTCTAGTGGCTAAAGTCCTCGCCTTGCACATGCCAGGATCCCATGTGGGAACCAGTTCATATTCCGGCAGCCCCACTTCCCATCCAGCTCTCTGCTATGGCCTGGGAAAACAGCAGAGGATGGTCTAAAGTATTGGGACCCTCCATGTGAACTGAAGACCCAGAAGCAGCTCCTGGCTTCAGATGGACTCAGTTCCAGCCACCGTGGCCACTTGGGAAGTGAATCAGCACATGGAACATCTTTCTCCCCTCTCTTTCACTCTGTAAACCTGACTTTCCAATAAAAATAAAATTAAATCTTAGAAAACAAAAAAGGCAATGATCATAACTAACTGGAATTATCAAGTACTCCCCAGAACAGTGTCTGTAGACAAGTGATTTTGACATTTGGAGATACATCTCTTTTTATTACATGTAGCCTAAATGCTGTTGCTTTAAAGTACTTTTGGACAAAGACACAAAATACTAACCGAAAGTCTCATAAGGCTCTGCGTCCTTCTTACCCTCACTGGCACTGCTGGAAATTTCAGAATCATCAGGAAAATCAAACACGTCAGGAGGCCCGTGCTTCCGACCGGCTTTCTAAAAGTGAATGGAATCAAGTCATTGCCCTGCTTCTGACCCACGACAGAACCCAGCTGTCATCTTCAGCAGGGACACACCTGCCGCGGCTGCTGCCTGGAGAAGCCATCCACACTGCGCCGTCCCCGGACACATGGTCCCGACTGAGGAAGGCAGGGGAGACAAGTCCTTTCTGCAAAGGACCAGAGCAGAAACCCTGCAGCCTTCCACTAGCTTCCACCAACATCTCACATGGGCCACTGCACCGCGAAGGCAGCAAAACCTGTGCTGAGTTCCACCGTGACTCCACTCCAAGACACAGAGAGATGCATCTCACATGGCCACGACGTACTCTTTCTAGTTGGTTTAAACTATTTTTAAAAATCCTCATTTCACAGAATTGTAAGGTGACTAGGCGGTAGGTTGGATTACCCATAGCAATGTTAGATGCCTAGACCAGACAAAGCGACGGGGCGTCTCCCCAGAACCTGCTCATCCACCTCCTGTTCCCTGTGTGAGAGCAGAGAGGGGTGAGGACTCCCGACTGAAGCAGAGACCAGGCGCACAGCTCAGCCTGCGGGACCTGCTGCAAGGGCTGCTGTGGCGCAGGGCCACGTGCCTCAGAGGACGCCCGAAGCCCAAAGGAGAACACAGCCACGCTCAGCTGCCAGGCGCCCTGCACTGTATGCGTGAGCCACTGGGAGCTAGTTTGGAAATAGCCAGCAAGAGTGTTAAATGCACCTGCCATTGCAAACGCGCATCCTCAGACTCTCCTAAAGAAATACACAAATATGCTGTGGACTACACGGATTATCATCAAATCACACGCCATCGCTGGCGGCATGGTAAAACGGTGTGAGAAATGGCAAAACGCAGAAAGCTGGACAATTTTTATACAACGGTAATTACGTAAGCGAAAATCAAAGCAACCCAGGCTCAGAACAAAAGAGCCGTTTCTAAAATGCTAAAAAGGTTCATTTTCTTCAAGATAGTGGAAAAAGTGGGAGGAAAAGGAATAAGCCTTTTTTTTTTTAACTACACTAAAACACAGAGCTTAAATCAAATGACTTACAGAAAACTCTGAGGTCTTCACCAAAGCTTTTTTGTATTGTCAATGTGGGAAAAAAAATCACATTAAAATATAAAAAGGTAACTTACTTCTCTCACAGAATATGTTCTTCCTGAAGTGTTCCTTGAACACACCGCTCTAAGAAAGAAGTTAGGAAATATTTAAAATCAGGCAAAATACCATAACTTGGATGCTTTCCAAGTCTTGTCTTCCCCAATTATACTCATTAGTCAGACAAATGGTGCACACACAGCTCTGCTGAGGTTGGAAAACAGAACCCAAGTCCCACAAGCATACTTCAGAAATCAGACTACATCACCAATACATGCAAAATATCCTCTTTCTCCCTCAAGGACATGAAAGCCCCCTAAGCCTGCTGCTCTGCCGGCGGCCGGAGGTGATGGACTTGGTACACTGACGCTGATCAGGGACCTAACACCATGCCACCTGCACCTGTTCACCCAGCTGGACTCCACAAGGCGGAGCGAGGGGACAGGTGTATGTGAGCCCAAGGCCACCGGCAGCTAGGCAGACAGCAGCCTCCAGGAAAGGCCCTGGCAGTTCCCATCCAGAGCCTGCCCTTCCTTCGCCCATCGGTGGAGATCTCCACGCACCCCTAAGTCCACCAGCCTGGCTTTCCTAGCACAGTTGTGGCAACTTTCTAATCTCCAGTCAAGGCCCAAATTTTCATCAGCTGTACAAGGTTGTTCAGGGGCTTCCACCGCAGCCATTTTGTAAAATGGGAAATCCAGACGAACAAAACATTGCCCCAGAGATGTCATTTTCATGAACTTGTGTTTCATGGGCACAAGTGCCAGCTAACTGGGTGCAAAACATCATTATGTGAATCACAGCTTTTAAAGAAAAAATTGAAAAGCAGCGATTTCTTAAGTTTCCAGGCTACAGCTGATCCTGAAAACCTAACGAAGACAGCAGAAGCAGTATTTGCGTAACGGCAACTTTATCATTCTGGGACTCAGAAACACCTTGTCAGTGACGCCAAGATGAAAAATCTAGATGAGCCTATTTGGACAAAGCAAAATCAGAAACAACGGAACTGCTCCCAGACCCACAACATCAGAGGCCTCCAACCAGCAACCCGATTTACACCCTTTGCAGGAAGACACAAGCCAGGTGTGGAAGCAACTTAATTGGCTACAGCCCATCCAATCAGCGTAATGGTAACAGATCAACTCGGCAACTGCTCACAGCGTGTTCAGTTAACTGCCAAGAGCCTTCCCCAACCATCTCAGTCCAAACGCGCTGAGCGGGCAACAGCAAGGCTCACACAGCCAAGTAACGCAGTACTAACTAGAAAGCGGATCAGCACACGCCCACACCTAAACCATTTTCAGCCGTCTCTCGCGTGGGCTTAAACAAAAAGCCAAATGTCCTTTCAGCCTTCAAGCTGGAGGCTTCCCAACGGGTGGGAGTCTTCGTGATAACCACAAGTACAGTTTCCCTTCCGCGGGTACTGCTGCAATTCGAGGGGACCACTCAACAGATTTCGGGGGCCTCACGCCCCAAGGCGTCAGCGGGGAGCCTCCGAGGCAGTTCCAGCCTGGGCGCGGATGCCCTGGCGATCAACACTCGGTGCATTGGCCGGCTAACCCGCGCACAACTTCAAAGCCGCCAGCCCCAACCTGGGGCGCGTGTGGGGGCTGCACCTCCGGGTCCGGGGCGTGCGCCCAGCAAACCGAGAGAGGACAGCCCCGGTTCGCAGACGCCGAGCCGCGCGGAAGAGAGCCACCCCGCCACCTACACGGCGAAACCTCCACCGAGACCCCTGTACACTCACCCCGCACGGCCGCGGACCCGCCGCCGCTCCGGCGGGGCCATCTCGCCACTCCCGGACCGCGGCGCGCACCGAAGCTCCCGCCGAGCCCCGCGCAGCTCCGGCCGCGCGCACCGAAGCTCCCGCCGAGCCCCGCGCAGCTCCGGCCGCGCGCACCGAAGCTCCCGCCGAGCCCCGCGCAGCTCCGGCCGGCCAATCCGAGGCGTCTCGCCTCCCTCGGCCTCCGCCCCCGGCCCGAGGTTCCCGCCGGGCGCAAGCGCGAGGGAAAACCTGGTCTGGACTTTTCTAGGCTTTCCTTCTTGCGGGGTGGGCGGGCACCTGGCGGAAAGGGGGCCGATCCAAGCCCTTGGTGGGATCTGCACCTGCAGGGGCTGCTGCGCGCCGGGCTCAGGTGTAACTCGCTGCGGAATTACACTTCAGAAGCAGCTGAGTGAGCCCAGCCCAGCGCGCTCCATCCGTGCCGGTATCTCTATTTGTAAACGGGGAGGGTTCCTTCTGGAACTGATGGTCTCTTATTCTGGATTGGAATGCAGGAGAATAAAGTTGCATAGAAATAAAAAGAAATTGAAGACATAGAACTATAGATTTCTAAGTATAAATTCAAAATGATGAATATAGATTTCTAATTACAAATATAAGTTCCAAATGATGTCTGGGCCATAAATTGACTGTACTTAATGCCACATGACTCTACAATTAAAAAAAAAAAAAGTTGCCTACTGCCATGTGGCAAAGCTGTCAAGAGAGAGGGAGACAGAGAGCAATCTGCCATGCCCTGCTTCACTCCCCAAATGTCTGCAAAAGGCGAGCGCTGGCTGGGCCAGGCCGAAGTCAGGAGCCCAGAGCGCCTACCCAGCCTCAAGGTGGATCAAAAGTGGAACAGCTCCCATGGACACAATACGAGCAACCAGCGCTCATATTGGATCCAGGTATTGCAGGCAGTGGCTTAACACACTGTGCCCGTCCCCCCAGCTTCCTTCTCAAGTGCCCCCTGCAAGGCGGCAGCGATTGTTGCAGTGCTGTCCCTGCCAGCCATATGGGAAACTCGGATTCCTGGCTGTAGCATCTTCGCTGTTGTGGGCATTTGGGAGTGAAGCAGCGACAGAGAGGCCTGTCCTCTCTCTCTCGCTGCCTTTCAAGTTAATTGTTAAAATGCTAAATTTTGTGTTGTTAATATTTTCACCACAAAATGCGACATGTGACATGTATTAAAAAGCAGAGAGGGGAACACACAGTCTTGTCTGGAACGAATGCCGCTTAACCAGCCCTGAGCCCTCACAGACAACTAGGGGTCCTTGTGCATGACCCCTCTTCCCGTGAACTACTCACTCCGGGGAGGAAAGCCGCTCAAGCCTGTGCTTCTTGGCCATAGCACATCCCTATTTAACATACTGATTGTTATGTTTCTGAGCTTCATCCAAGTGACTTTTGTAGGAACCCACCACTGCTCTTCTGTGCTCTGGGAAAACTGATAAGCCAGCCCCTCCAGAGCTTTGCCTGTTTCCCCGTACAGGTGCCAGTTCATGTTCCAGCTGTTTCGCTTCCCATCCAGCTCCCTGCTTCTGGCCTGGGAAAACAGTGGAGGACGGCCCAAAGCCTTGGGACCCTGCACCAGTGTGGGAGACCAGCATAAACTCCTGGCTCCTGCTCCTGGCTTCACATTGGCTCAGCTCTGGCTGTTGTGGCCACTTGGGGAGTGAACAGACGATCTCTCATTCTCTTTGTAATTCTGCCTTTAAAATAAATGAATGAATCTTAAAAAAAAAGAGATTTCACTGTGTTGTATGCACATCCCTGTGGAGCTGTAGTTCATTGCTCTTCAGTGTCTTTGCAATGCATGATGTACCAGTTTTATGGTCTAGTGTGTGAATACAGTGCTTGTGCCGTCTTGGGACCACCCACAGGGCACTGACTGTTCCTGGAGGTGTCTTACAGGGTGCCAGTCTTGAGCTTGTCTCTGGCTTATTGCTGTGCAGAATATCCTCATGCTGAACTTGACATTATCATGCCATTTTTTTGCATGTTGTTTTACAGTTTAATTTACATTTCCATTAACAGTGTGTAAGGTTACTTTGCCCAGGCCTGGCACGGTAGCCTAGAGGCTACTAAAGTCCTCGCCTTGCAAGCACCAGGATCCCAAACGGGTGTCAGTTCTAATCTGATTGCTCCACTTCCCATCCAATTCCCTTCTTCTGGTCTCTGAAAGCAGTGGAGGACAGCCCAAAGCCTTGGGACCCTGAACCCACGTGAGAGACCCGGAAGAAGCTTCAGGCTCCTGGCTTCAGATCCACTCAGCTCTGGCCATTGCAGCCACTTGGGGAGTGAACCAGTGGATAGAACATGTGTCTCTCTGTCTCTCCCTCTCTTTGTATATCTGCCTTTCCAATAAAAATAAATCTTTAAAAGATTATTTTGGTCCCTTCAATCATCCATATTTAGAATTTCCAAGACTTTTTACATTTGGCTCTCTCTAGAGTTCATATATTAAACTATTGAGTTTGCTTTTTTTGCTTTTGTTTTCAATATTTATTTGAGTTATGCAGAGAGGGGGAGAGACAGAGAGTGAGAGATCGTCTCTCTGCTAGTTCACTCTTCACATGGCCACCTCGGCCGGGGCTGGCCAGACCCGAGCCAGGAGCGCATTTCCAGGAAGCGTGTGGTTTGCTTTTCCCTTCAGCTGGTCATCTGCCGGTTGCTCATAGCCCATTGCTCTTTCATCTTCCGTGAGACACTTGTTCATTCTTCCCAGAAATCCTTGGGGCAACTGCAGAGCCAGGCAGTGGCCCTTGGGCCGGGCAGTGGCCCCTGAGGGGCTGAAGCCAGCCTCTCCACCACCAGGCAATGACCCGGGTTCCCTGAATCCCCATGAGCTGTCCCCAGCAAGAGAGTACGTTGAGAGCTCTGAGTTCCAGGAACAGGGACCAGCCAAACCACAGATGCCTGCCATTCTGAGAAACAAAATGTTCCCGCTACAACGAATGAAAAGGGGTCAGCATTTCACATGGACAAATAAACTCAAGGGCCTGGTAACATGGCTCAGTAGCTAAATCCTCATCTTGCATGTTCCGGAATCCCATTTCGGCGCTGGTTCATGTCCCAGCTACTCCACTTCTCATTCAACTCCCTGCTTCCGGTCTGGGAAAGCAGTAGAGGACGGCCCAAAGCCTTGGGACCCTGCACTCGGGTGGGAGACTTGAAAGAGGCTCCTGGCTTCAGATTGACTCAACTCTGACTGCTGTACCCGCTTGGGGAATGAACCAGCAAACGGAGAATCTTTCTCTGTCTCTCTCTTCTCCGTAAATCTGATCTGATTTTCAATAACAATAAATAAATATTAAGAAAAAAAAACAAGCTCAAGCCACACAAGCTTCGATGATATAAAGGAACTCATGCGCAGGTGCCAGAAGGGGCTTGGAGCTCCGCTGGGTCCCTCTTGCTCTCCCATCAGTCCTTCCCTCAGCCTGAGTTCTGTCATCAGCACCCTGGCCAGCATCATCATCCCCAACAGCAAGAACACCAGGCTAGTGCCCACGTGCTGGGTCGCCCCTGCTCCGTGCCCATCTTACTGCCATGCCACCATGCCACCCTCCCTGGGTGAATGCTTGCCAAGCTCACCAGCCTTGCGTTAGTAGGTTTGGGGGGTGCTGAAAAAGGACAGCTGGGATTCGGGGTCAGGAGAAGCAGGGGTGCATCACAGGAGGGGGGTAGAGGGGACGTGAGCCCTGCAGGTAATGGGGAGGGGGGCTGAATGTTTTTATCCCACAAACTATAGGCTAAAAGAGCTGTGGGGACTCTTGCACGGTTGGGTACACTGAGTGAGGGGGAACAGGTCTTCCTGGGGAGTGGTTTGCCGCCTAAGAAGATGAGGCTCCAAAAACGGAGAAGAAAGGAAGGGCAATTAGACAATAAGCTTATTTTGGTGCTAAAAAAAATTGGAAGCGGATACTTTTTTTTCTCCCCTAATACACATTTTCCATGAGCTTTCTGGATGAGACCAGCCATGTCCAGGGCATATGGTTGTACACTTAAACACCTTTTGTCTACTAGTTCCATATTTTGGAATCATTAGGCTGGTATGTAATTGCAAATACTGTTCATTTATCCTACAGAATAACCTTGGAGACAAGCGGCAATGAATATGGCTCTAGCTTGGGCAAATTCTTCCTTCTAGTGAGCATCTATGAAGTTTGCTGTTCAGCATTGTGTCCACCAGGGGGCAGAGAAAGAAAAGAAATAGAGATTAGAAAAAGTAATCACTGCTTGTTTTTAAACATATTAAATATTGGTTTAAAGCCAACTTACCAAAACTAATAACACAGATATTCTAATTTCTCTTGCCTAATTAATTTTCTCCCTTCATTTGAATTATATTCTTCCATAATTTATCAAATCCATTACTGTAAATTTTTTTAGAAGATTTATTTTATGTGTCTGGTGCAATAACCTAATGGCTAAAGTCCTTGCCTTGAGTGCGCTGGGATCCCACATGGGTACCAAACTGTGTCCCGGCGGCTCTGCTTCCCATTCAGCTCCCTGTTTGTGGCCTGGGGAAACAGTCGAGGACAGCCCAAGGCCTTAGAGTGCTGCTCCTGCATGGAAGACCTGAAAGAAGCTCCTGGCTTCAGATTGGCTTAGCCCCGGCCATTGTGGCCACTTGGGCAGTGAAACAGTGGACAGATCTTCCTCTGTCTCTCTTCACTTTGTATATCTGCTTTTCCAATAAACCTTTAAAAACAATATAGAGAGGAGATACAGAAAGAAAGATATTCCTTCTGCTGGTTCATTCCCCAAGTGGCTGCAACAGCCAGAGCTGAGTCAATCCAAAACCAGGAGCTTGTTCTCTCATGCAGGTTCAGGGTCTCAAGGCTTTGGGGCATCCTCGACTGCTTTCCCAGGCCACAAGCAGGGAGCTGGATGGGAAGTGGGGCCGTCAGGATTAGAACCAGCACCCATATGGGATCCCGGAGCACGCAAGATGAGGACTTTAGCCACTAGGTTATTCTGCCAGGCCCTGTTCCTTAAACTTTTTAAATTATTTATGAGAAAGCAAAAAAAGGAAGAGACAGAGAGAGCAAACTGAAAGCAAAAGTGAGAGAGAGGTTATCCATCTACGGATTCACTCCCCAAATGGCTACAATAGCCAGGTCTGTGCCAGGCCAAAGTCAGTCACCAGTAACTCTATTCAAGTCTCCCAGAAGGGTGGTACTCGGGCCTTCCTCAGCTGCCTTTCCAGGTGTAGTAGAAGGGAACCGGATCAGGTGTGGAGCAGCCAGGACTTGCAATGATGCTCTAATGCGGGATACCGGAGTGACAAGCAGCAAATTAACCTGCGGTGCCTCAACACTGTCCCCCCATTGCTGTAAACTTTTGTTAGGAGCAAAGTATATAATTTTCGGTTACAGACAGGAAAATAATTTATTTTTCCACCTTGCCTGTTTACCCTCCTGCAGTACCTCCTAGCTATTGGGTGCCGAAAATACCTCCCTCAACTTGGCAGTTTAATAAACTGAGGTTGTTATCTGCTTTGGACAGGCCAACCGCTCAACACTGGTAACTATGACACTGCAGAAGGAACTGGAAGCTTTGGGGGCGGACGGGAGGGGCAAAGGAGGCAGGTCAGGCGTGGAAGATACTTTCTCAGATGTTCCCTTTATACAAAAGAGGAAATAAAAATCTAGAGGGGAAGTACCATTCAGTGTCTTGTAATGTTGGACAGCAGATTTTTTTTTTTTTCCATTGGAGCAAATATGCAATGACATTAAGATCTCTTGGATGTCACATGCTTTCCAACCCTGCCATGGCTCCCTTCCCTGATGACTGAACTTGTTTGCCCTGTATCTGTTGTCCTACTTTTTCCAGACTTCGCTGGCACTGCTCCTACCCAAGCTGAGATCACATGGCTAAATAGGGCTGACCAAGCTGCTGGGACCACACCGCGCCACGTGTTTCAGATTCCATTCCCAGCTGCCCCGAGGGCCGCCGGAGCCTGCTGCCAGAATCCTGGCAGATGCATACATTCCAGTAACACTCAGGGATTCTTTAGCAGACTTCCAATCTACACAGGAAAAAAAAAAAATCAACATACAGCTCAAACTGACATAGGTAGGGCCAAGGGAATACGGCAATGAAAGAGTGGGGGAAGGTAGCCTTAAAGAGCCTGATGTGATGGCTTGACTGAATAATGCTCTACCCCCAAGTGCTGGCATCCCATATGGGTGCTGGTGTATGTCCCGGCTGCTCCACTTCCCATCCAGCTCCCTGCTTGTGGCCTGGGAAAGCAGTTGAGCACGGCCCAAAGCCTTGGGACTCTGTCCCTGCATGGGAAACTCAGAAGCTCCTGGCTAACAGATCAGCTCATCTCTGGCTGTTATGGCCACTTGCAGAGTGAGCCAGCAGATGGAGGAATTTTCTCTCTCCTTCTCTCTGTAAATCTGCCTTTCCAATAAAAATAAATAAACCTTTATATTTTTTAAAAAAAATGGTCTTAAAGGGATAAAGAATAAGATGCCTTCACTTTAGACTTGT